GCCGCAGATGACTTGCAAGGGCGCCACAAAACGCGACCTGGTCTACATGTCGCCCGAGGCTGCCTCAATGCTTGCTGAGGTCAGCGTGGTTCACACCTTCCAAGAACACGCCACTGTCATTGCTCGTCTGGCATTCCCTGATCAGGTTCAGCTCTTGCGGGCTTGGGCTTTACCTGCACTCATTCCTTGGGAATTGCTCGGCGATCCATCCTCATTCACAACCACCACTTGTGCTCTCCCATCACCACAAGGAGACACCACTGACTGGTTTGCATCATTTTCGTCTAAGTACGAAACTGCCATCTCGGCAGAATGGCCACGGCAACACGGGCATAAGCTCCCGTCTCGATGCAAGGGGCGTGGGCAACGCACAGCGCCCACCATGCGCCCCATCTCTGCTCCATTGGCAAGACCAAGCCGCCATGGGGAGGAGCGGCTTGGTAGCGATCTTGTCTGTACAGCAGTACGGCAATGGTTCAAACAACTACGACGACTTCAGTCACTCGTCCACGCACTGCGGAGCAACAAGCTTACCGCTGCGGCCCTGGCCTACCGGGTCGAACTTTGGGCCTCAACAATTCGTGCACCAGGTTTCGAAGGTGGGTTCACAGCATGGTGGCGAAACCGTCATTCACGCCTACCATACAGTCCCAGTGAGCTCCCCATCGGCACACCAACACTCGCATTGGCAACCTCGATCTTTGAGGACTTCCGTGCCAATTTTCGGCGCTTCGAGAGTTGGCACATCCGACAACGTGCCAAAGCCCTTTGGAACCGAGCTGAGCAACACAGCGCTACTCTCTTCGGGCAACTCAAAGACGAGCGACCACAACCTGTTGATACTCTCACTCTTCAACAGGACTACACCATCCTTGCAGTTGCCGAAGATGGACAGAAGGTTCTTCTTGACTCTACCCCAAAGAGGCAAAGCAATTCGCAATGGTGGCATCAAGGTGAGATAGCAGAGGTCACTTGCCACAGTGATGCTACATGCAACCTCACGTCGGACTACTTGCTTCACCCTGGCCAACAACTCATTCAGAAAAGTTTTGTCACCTCCACCGAAGAGGTACATCAGGAATTCGTTTCTTTTTGGCGACCTCGTTGGCAAAAACATGCAAACACCTCCCCCGACCGGTGGGAGCGCATCTTCGCTTTCGCCCAAGCATTTCTGCCAACACGCACCTTCTCTTTGCCTGACATAACTGTTGATCGCTGGCGATCCACTCTCAGGAAATACAAGGTCATCGCAGCCAGAGGCACTGACGGCTATGCAAAGCTTGACCTTGCAAATATGCCAACAGACTTCATCCGACAGTTACTCCAGCTCTTTCACGGCATCGAAAGAGGCACCTGCCAATGGCCGAGACAACTGCTCACAGGCATCGTCAAATGCCTAGCCAAATCTTCGATCGCCGAACAAGTCAACGACTTCAGGCCCATTGTCATTTTCAGCCTCATTTACCGCACATGGGCTGCAATCCGGTGCAACGACCTTCTGCGGCAGCTAGAGCCACTTTTTAACTGCGATGCATACGGTTTTCTCCCGGGCAGGGAGGCCGCGGAATACTGGTACACCCTCCAGTCCCGCATTGAGATCGCAACACAATGCGGGTCAGGCCTAGCTGGCATCACAACCGACCTTGTCAAGGCTTTCAACAGTTTACCTCGACTACCAACTCTTGCCATCGCCAGTCATGTCGGAGCTCCACAAGGACTCCTCTCGGCCTGGGCCTCTTTTCTCGGCAACTTCCAGCGCCGCTTTGAAGTCAGGGGGAGTCTTTCACAAGGAGTTTCATCCACCTGCGGTTTCGCAGAAGGCTGCCCGATGAGCGTCTTCGCAATGTGTGCCTGGTCGACTTGGCATACCACCGATACTTCAAGGTATTTGAGCCGTCAATCGACACCATGTCATTCGTTGACAATCTTGAATTCCATGCGGGTGAGGCTTCACTCATTGCCCGAGGATGGATTTTGCTCCTTGCTTTTTGCGACTCCTGGGGGCTTGATCTTGATCTCTCTAAAAGCCTGGCCTGGGGGACACTCCCCGCTCTACGTACGGCCCTTCAGCCGATTGGACTTCCAGTCCTTCATGGAGCAAAGGACCTTGGCGGTTGCCTTTCATATGGACAGGCGCTGAGGAACTCGGGACAAGTCGAGCGATGCCGTTCGCTAGCAGCCTCCTGGAGGGCACTACGTCGGGCCACAGCCCCGTACCACTCCAAGCTAGCTTCGCTCTACCAGGTCTTCTGGCCGAAGGCATTGCATGGCATTTCCATATGCTTGTTGAGCAACATCCACATCGGCAAGCTGCGGTCGGAAGCCACTCGCGCACTGCGCGCAAACAAAGCTGGCGCGAACCCACAGCTTCGACTTTTCCTCACTGGAAAAGCGGAGGCAGACCCTGGCTACTACCAGCTCGTCAGCGCGGTGCGGGACCTCCGCCGCATCTGCGGCAAGCAGCCACAGGTTGTCAATCTCTGGCGAGCCTTCATCAGGCGCTTTTCCGGTCAATTGCTACCCGGTCCCTTCGGCAAACTCCTTGAAGTGTTCGACACCATATCTTGGACAGTCGTTGACCCTCCGCTTGTGCTCGATCATGACGGGGTCCCATGCGACCTGCTGGCCGCCCCGGACTCCACAATCGCTGCACTACTCGAGGACGGCTGGGCCCAGGCGCTAGCAAAACAACTCCGGCGCCCTTCCATGCATGGGCTACAGGGTATCGACTTGCCACTCTGCCGGCTGGACTACCCAAGGCTGACTCCTCACGAGAAAGCCATGCTCTCGGCCATCCAGGATGGCTCTTTTCGAAGCCGAGTCCAACACGCTCACTACGACACAGCCAAAACTCCTGACTGTGTCATTTGTCACGTGCCCGACACATACGAGCATCAGTGTCGACATTGCCCGGCTCATCAACTTGCCCGGTCACACGCCTCAGAGGCCACTCGCCTTTGGGACTCTCTCCCAGCCTGCTTCACCAACCACCTGCTTGTCCCAAGGAATCCCTGGTACCATGCTTACCGGGAATTGCTTAACAAGATGCCCGATCATGCAGGCCGCTTTGAAGGACCTCGCCCAGTTGAGGGACAGCTTCAACACCTTTTTACTGACGGATCTTGCAGTACATATTGCGAAGGTTTTACAGTAGCAGCCTGGGCCGTCGTATCGGCGACGTCGTCGGATTGTGTTTCTTCGGGACCCCTTGTTGGTTTCCCCCAGACTATCAACCGAGCCGAACTGTCGGCTTTCTGCTCTGCGTGTCAGTGGGTGAGATTTTTTCGGCAGCCCACCATTATCTGGACAGATAGCAACTATGTATGTCAGGGTTACCAGGACATTCTGGCCGGTAATCTTGACCTGCATGGGCGAGACAACCACGATCTTTGGACAAGAGCGAGCAATCTTGTTTCAGCATGCGAGCAGCTGTTGGTGAACGTCCGACATGTCCATTCGCACGTGCTTTTACATGAGTGTGAGGACCCTTTTGAGGAATGGGCTGCCACCTGGAATGCAAAAGCAGACACAGCTGCAGGCGTCGCTAACCTGAACCGCTCTTTGCAGTTTACAAAGGTTCTTGCCGCTGCAAAACTTCATGTGAGCAAGTACGCCAGGTTAAGCCGTGAGCTGCGGGCCTTGTACTTCAGCATCGCTCAGACCCACTTTCAAGCACCTCCTCCGGACGAGGATGAACTTGAAATCATCCCCGGTGGGGATGTGCAGCAAAGAGCAAGAGATGACATCATCGCCGATTTTATCCCCGCCGATTGGGAGCTGCACATCGGGCGAGTTCCCCTCGGCGGGATTCCTGCATGTTTCTTTAAATCCGCGCTGGAATGGCTATTGAGCCATGATGCAGACACAGACGCTGCACGTGCCATCAGTTGGCTTGAGCTCACAATAGCTTTGCACAGAAGCGGTATTTCTTTTCCAGTCCCTGGCAATGGCAAGGACAGCTGGGTTCCTCTTTCGGCCAAGCCCTGCTCGTTCAGTCTCACGACAGTTGCCAGCCAGGTCAAGCTGGTGAAGCGCCTGTACACGATTGCTTTCAACTACTCTCGTGTGCCAGGGATTTATGTTGAGCACATCAACATTTTGAGCTGTGGAGTCCACCCTCCCCAACAGGGCATTTGGGTAGGAGCTTCAGCGGACTTTGTACAGTCCACAAGATCCGCACTTTGCGATTGGACCAGTCGCCGGCCGGTTCGCACCGCCGCGGACCTCGCCAGGCCTTTTAGGTGAGGCGCCTTGAAATCGGGCTGCTGCACCGCTGCTTAGCCGTGCACAGACTCGACCGCCAAGTCGCGATATTGGGTGCCCAAGGTATTGCGGGTTCATCCTCGACAATGAAACTGGTCTATGGAAACCCATCGGTTGGTTTTATACCATTATGGGAGAGAGTGTCCATGAAAAGTGCGAGGTCTTCCCTGATCAGGTTTGTCTCACTTGCAGATGGGGCTCAAGTGTACAAGCCTTGCACCGCTTTCGTAAAACTGGAGTTGATAGACTACATGAGGGCTAAACAGTTTCTTGCTTGGCGAGAAGGTGAGTTTGCAAGCAGCAAAGAATCGGAGTTTCAGGTGCGCAACGAGCGCTTAGGATGTGCTTTTGCCTCAATGAGGCTGGTATTGAACACAGGGCCTGCAGCAACACCCCAGGTGGCTCAAGGCCTTGAAAGCGCTTCTTGATTTCAGAGCCCTGCAACGGAGCTACATGGAACTGGTTGTTGAGCTCATCAGAGAGCACTGAGATGTCAAAACTACGGGGTCCTCGTTGGTTTGTTTTGAGAGGTATCCGGAACAATCAAACTGGTGAGAGTGGGCATTCTGTTGAGATGGCCCACTCTCCCTGTGGGTGCTTTCAAGAACAGAAACTCTGCTAAAACTGGTTGGTGTCCTATTTGCTTCCCTTGAAACACCATCCAAGAGTGAGTCGGCACTCTTATGACACCTCTGTGAGCTCTGTGCGCTTTTTGCGGAGCGTTCCAAGAGCGTGAGGCACGTGTACTGTACCTTCGGGAGCGTGGAGGCCAGAGCGGAGGGCCTAAGGTAGATATGCAACACCAGGACATGCTGTTTGAAAGGTGCTGTGGATGGAACCACCTGAGCAACCCTGAATGGTTCCTAGCGAAGAAAAAAACAACAAAACACAGGCGCGAAATGGAGTTCGGAGCTTGGAAGATTGGAAGCCAACGATGTGTTGGTGATACTGCAGGGCGGGAAGCCGCCCTCAGGGGCCCAGGGCTTCAACTGGGCCTGTGAAGCTAAGAACGAGAGCTCCGCGCATGGGATGGCTCCCAAAGAAAAAGAAGAGGTCTGTTAGAGACTCCCCTGGTGTCAGTTATAGATTTTGACCTGCGGGAAGTGTGACCATCGCCCTCCCCTGGTAATTCTTCGGCAGCTTCCATGGTGGCGCGGTTTGAACAGACCCCACGTGCTTGTTTTGCGGAGTTTGTTTGACCAGCACTTTGTGTCCGGGGCCAACATTTTTTGTAGAGACCTTCGTTCGGATAGTCTTGGGTATCCAAGCTGAGCAAGGCCTATTGTTGGGGGACAGCCCAAATTTCCAAAACCAGGGGGACAACCCAACTTACCCGTGCGCTCTTGAGGAAGAAATAATAGATTCTAGATAGTATTATTGCCGTGGATCATATGGTGAATCGCGCCCATGCGAACGCTTGCGTGTGCGTGACAATTGTTGTTTCTCCTTGGTTCAAAGGGAAACCACAAGGAAACTATGGGGTGGACCCGTATTTTGGACTTGCAGATCCGCAGAGATCCCAACAGAAGGCAGAACTAGCAGGGCCCACTTTGCCCGCATGCCCTCTTCATCGTCTTCATGCCCCTGGTGCAATGCTTTGAGGCAAAACTGGTTTCCCATGTTCTCAGCCTCCCATTCGATCCTTGGCCGCCGGCGTTCTCCCCACGTTGACTCAACTCACAGGAACTCGACAGGGTTCCACCAGGGTTCGACTAGGGTTCCACCTGGGTTCCACCAGGGTTCCACCAGGGTCCACCAGGTTCTGCGAGGGCTGCGGGGTGGTGCGAGCACTAAAAAGAGCACCGCATGCTGTTGGGGATATCACCTGAGCTTATTGTTCAGGAGTTGGTACTCCCCAGCACCTGACGGTGGAACCTAAACATGGTCTCCAAAAGGCGATGCTTTGCAAACCATGATTTTTTCTAGGGCAACATTCAGGGGGGTTCCAGGGCAACATTGATTTTCAGACTAGCATTGCTGCCATCCAGTTGGCCCCAAAGGCGGCTTCAGGCCGCTAGGTCTTGTTTGGTGCAAGAGGACTGTTGTCTTTTCCTCGTTTCGAAAGGGAAGGTCACTTCATAGTTCTTGACATGTGATGTTCGGCTTGTTGCTTGCTGTCGTAGGCGATCGTGGAAGGGCTTGCATGGAGCAGCGGCCCCCTTTCTCTCTCCGTTCTTGCGTCCAAAAGGAAGTACAGGCTCGGTCTTCCAAGATCTCCCCACACGCCTTGCATGGTGCAGAGGAACCTCTTTGTTTCTTTTCCGCGGAAAGGAACGGACACCGCAGAAGCAGCTCCTGCGATTAGATCAGAGCACGCCTCGCAGTTCAGGCAGCTTCACTCGCCGGAAGGAGTCGCACCTCCTGAGAGAAGGTGGCAAGCTTGCTGGTGCGATAGGTAGGGAATGAGGGAATGAATCCAGGAATTGGTCTCCTTGGAAACCACCATATATGAATGGATAGGGATCTTTCCATTTCTCATTCCTTGCATCTCTCGCACCAACAAGCAATGACCTCACCACATGCGACCGGCAACTGCTTGGCGCTTGCCTCTTGCCAAGTCAGTCAGCCGAGCAAGCGAGCGGATCCCGCGGAAGGGCTTGGCCTTCGGATCTTTTGCGACGCCAGGTAGCCCACGACTTCCTTGACAAGGACGGTAGCTCCTCCGTGGATGAGGAGGAGTGGGCACAGGCCGGCTGGGGCTTGGGGCTTGGCGAGCCCCCTGGCCAGCTGAGTGGTTTTGTTTCACTCCCCAAAATTATTTTCCTCCAAAAAAGGACACCCATGTTTGGGATGGTTGGGTTTTTGCATGCCGCCAATTTGGGGGGTAACGGTGGGTTCAAGGCCGATGGGCATGATGCATGCGTTTCGTTCATGAGGGTTGGAGATGCCCGCCTGAGTAGTAGGAGCTTCAAGGTGGTTGAGCCTGATCTTTAGGCAGCCTTGCTATAAGCTGTCAACCTTAGTACAACCTTTAGACCACCTTTTGACAAACGCCTTGTGTCAGCCTTGGGGGCGTTTCGGGCACCAACCTCAGGGTTCGGCTTCCCTGGTCAAAGGGGCGAACCTGGGAAAGGAAGAACGATTGTCCTCCCACATGGGTGTCGCTCAAAATGAAGCTAGGGCAAACCGCAGGTTTTAGTCTTTGCTTCCATTTGCCAGGGCCACTTTGGTACATTCATTTGAGCCGCAGCCACATGGAGCCCATTCTCAAGCAGCAAGAACGAGAGAAGCGGAAGCCCAGGCTGCCGGTATCGAATATTTTTGCCATTTTTGTTACTTATGTGTTTGGGGACGAGCAAACTCGCAGAGGATTTTCCCTTTTTTGACTTCACGAGCAAACGAGCGAAATGGAGGTTTCCATGCACCAACCAGCTCGAGTTGGTCGCGTGACCGCGTTCCTACTAGGATATGAGTTGCTCGTAGGCAAATAGGCCCGGGCAAGCTTTACGCGGTGACAGTTGGTTGATTTCCACGCACAGCTGTATTCACAGGATCTTTGGCGCAGGCTCAGCCGTTCCCCCTGATTCATACTCTCCTGCAACTTGGGATGGAACCCCAACAGCATGGCGCTTGACTGAAGCACCGGTAGCGGAGTTCCCCCACAAAGGCATCGGTGGATGATGAATCTTATGTGTCAATCCCTCTTTTTTCGAGAATAGCGTTTACAGTTGTTGTTTTTCTTCCAAAGCCCAGGGTTTTGGGGGCTTTGGCCGTGTTTCCCGTACCTCTTAAAACCAGGCGCTGGTTGTTCGCTTGGGCACTCGCGGCGAGGCCACGAAGGAGATGGGCTACTTTGGGCCCAGCGGCATCATCTACAAGTACCTGCGCCGCGCTCGGTGCCGTCTAACGGATGGATCCAAAGTGGAACTGGGGGGCGGGGCGGGGCGGGGTGTGATGCGCTGGATCCAGCCAAAAAATGGAGCTGGGGGAGGGGTGAATGCCAGCAATACGAAGGATTTTGCATGTTTTTTTTTTTTTGTTGCGAGGACACTTCTGGTGAAGTGTTCCTACCAAGAGAAGGCCTGATTCCTCTTGAAGGTTCCTGGGTTTACGAAACCCAAGGAAACGCCTTACCCCACACTGTGCATCTCGCGGCGCCCGAGGTGCGCTGACCAGGTGCAGGGGCAGACCTCCGGCCTCACGAAGGAGAGGTGGCAGAAGGCTGGTGGTTGGAAGGGAGCCGTTACGGAGCTCGGCGTCGCCAAATTTGCGTGTGAAGAGGCAGCTCATGAGCTATCAGGAGTACTGGCATAACATGGTCGAAACCGTGGCGATTGTTTTGGAAAGTCGACACCAGCAAGCTGATCAACGTCTGGGGAAACCCCAGGTTTCCCAGTGCCCCCCAAAGTGACATCAACCTGAGGCTCCTTAGGTCCATGTGGGGGTTGATCAATATTCCGTTCGGCCCCCAAATGACCATGGGTAACTTTTCCCATTTCGTGGGGAGTATAATCTCTAAGTGGTTTCCCCCAATGGTCATCTTATGCTTACCGGACCTTTTGATCAACCCCCATTTCTTTACATTCCCATTTGGGGAAACCACGAAAAGGTGACATCAGCCTTCAGTCCATTTTCTTCTCGCGGCCAATTGACCTATGTTCTTCCCTGAGGATCGGGCGTTGGGATCGTGGCCGAAAGGAGACCTTTCGGTCGAAGCTTGTGACATGACAGCTGGCTCCCAGCCGTCCGGTTCCTTAGCTCTTCAGGTGTGTTCAAGAAACTGGTTTAGTGGTGTTCCAAGGAACTCACCAAATGTTAAAACATGTTTAGCGGGGGATCTGAGGACATCAAAAAATTCTGAACCGCCTCCACGCTATGTTCACAACGGGGATGTCGTTTAGTTGCGCCCTTCAAGGACTCGATTGTTCTTTGGTATGACGCAGGACCTTGATCTTTAGCACGTGATCTCTTCTTCAGCCCAACCAGCAAAAAAAAACGGAATTGAGGGAGCGACAAGTTTAATTTTGTGCGCCAAGGACCAACCAAGCAACACCCCGAATTAGCAACCAAGTGGATTCATATGAATTACTAGGGAGTGTTTCCCGGAACCACCCCAAGCGGTCAACGCCGAACGCGCCAGGCAGTTGACATTTGGACGAGGCGCAAGATCATCTTCCAGCGGCCGGGGTCCCCATGGGGAGAAAAAAAAAGGCGGGCGGTGGATTTTTTTTGTGCAACCCGGTGAAAGAAGTTGTTTGAAGGGTGGTACTGTGGATGGACGAAACTTGCACCACCTAAGAAATTATGGAATGATGATTTCATCCCCCCTGTAAATACCAACGAACAGTGGCTTCCCATGGTTTCAAAGTGGTGCAGGATTTCGTCCATCCACAGTATTACATCATGGTAAACACTTAGGGCGACTTTTCTTGGCAACCTGTTGCTTTTGGCAGTTGCTAGTTTTTTCAGAGTTCCTGCTGCAAAAGGGACTCGCCGTGTCCGTGGCAGAGGTGTGGGCGTGGCTTAGTTTGAAGCACTTGCCATGGCTTCCCCCATAAAAGTGCAGCCCAAAGGAGGATGCAGGATGCTTAAACAGTGGCTTCAAGGTGCTTGAACATCTCTGGTTTGATCGAACATCATCCCCAGGGTGTCTCTGTCTCTGATTTGTTCGAAAGCCTCCAAATCAAGAAGCTTCAATACCCTAGTTTCACTTGGCTGGCTGCGAAAAGCTTATACCATTCTGGGGGAGTAGCCTGAGAATGGTGCCCCCTAAGCCCTACAGAGTCCCCTACGCGTTCGGCAGAGTTTGGTTCAAGGAACTGGACTTTGGTCCTTTTTGAAGGCAAACCAAGAGGTTGTTGCAACCAACCATGGTTTAGAGAGTAGACATGTTTAAACTGCTGCTCCCAACCCTGCTGTTTTTTCTGCGTCCCTGTTGGGCCTTTTGGATGGCACTTAAGATGTTTGGCCCCTGAACTGTTCAATCTCAAACCTACTGCGGATGGACGAAATCATGCACCACCAAAAAACCCCTGGAATGATTCGATTCCCCTTTGAATACCAACAAACAATGATTTCAACCATGGTTTCAAAGTGGTGCAGGATTTCGTCCATCCACAGCAGGGAATCAAATCTGTTCCACCATCGAATTTGAGCACAAGCAAAGATGGGTCGATGGTTGGAAAACTGCTAGTCTTGGGGAAGACTCGCCAAGGCAAGTTGTACTGGCTCGTCACGCAGTTGCACTGGCCAAAGACCATGAGCAACCTTGTAGACAAGCTTGCTGGTGCTCAGTAGGGAATGTGGGAATGAACCCAGGCGTCCCCTTAAAGGAAACCACAAGTTGGATGGTTTTACAGGGGTCATTCCATTTCTCATTCCCTGCCTATCGCACCAGCAAGCGAATAGGGTAGGTTCAAGTCTTGGCATACGAAAGCTGAGGGTGCCATGTTTGAGAGAAGATGGGAGAACAAACGGAACTGGTGTAAGTTGGTGTAGGGGCCATGCACCGCGGATCCAAGGCAGACAATATCTCAGGAATTCTTTGCTGTAGAACGCTTCTTGAACTAGAGGGCCTCAAGGGAATGTTCCAGCAGCCTCTGAAGACTTTCCGGCTATTTGGGAACGGATCTTTTGGGACTTCAGTTTTTTGGTTGAATCAGGCGGTTTTTTTTCCGTATTGGACGAACGAAAAAGTGACACACTTGTTGCAGAGGGGTCAAATTCAGCAACCAGCCATCCCCTTAGCCTTTTAGCCTTCTAGTGTTTAGTGGTGGTTTCCATTTAAGCCTGAAAGTTAAAACTTTTAGCAGGGGATCAGAAAACGGGCAGCCCAGATTACAACAACCAAGTGGTACCCCTTTTCTTGCAAGTTGCTTCCGAAGCACCGCCCTGGAGAGCCATGGTTGAAATTGAGGGCGAGCCTTTCTGCACATAGGTGTCCTTTTTGGTTGATTTGGTCGAGAAATAGAGGGCGATTCCTGGTTTTTGCCTGGTGGTTCAATCAACCAGGGCCATCTATTTTTGCAAAAAGGACACCTATGTTTCTGCAACAGTCTTGGGGGTCAAATTGATAGTCCTCCGCGGCCAACGCTGAGGACTGTGTTGAGGTTCTTACAAGGTGGAAATGCGGTTCTGGCGGTATATCCAGAACTTGTTGTTCCATGTAGGAGGGCCATGGGGAGATCTACTCATTTTCCCTCAAAGTGCCAAGGTGAGATACTAATTTCTCCACATCCCTCACAATACCAAGGTGACTGACTCGTTTCCATATCCATGACGGTGACCCTGCTCCCAGGATCCTCGGCTGAGCGAGAGATTCTTGACCAAAAGCCTTTCTGCCCTCGCCTGGCAGATTTCCTTCGGCGAAGGCCCTCGCCATTTGCCAAGTGGTTCGGACCCCCCGCGATGAAAACTAGAGGCCCATACGGCTGAAGTGCGTCAATGATGTCCAAATTTCGGTTGCAGATTTCCTGCTACCTCTGAACATGACGTGTCAGGCCTGACACGAAGTAGGCTGTTCCGATGGTTCGGGTTGCACGCCGGTACATTTTATTGTTGGGAGAAGATCCCCTCCGAAGTTTGCTTTGCTGCTGTGAACCGTGCAGTGTCAGTTAGCAGGAGCATTTGTTGTGAGCGCTCGTCCCCAAGTGGTTTTGATAATTCCTTTTGCTTTCCAATGTACGGGTATGTGTCCAACACAGAGGATTCCCGGTTAGCTTACATTGAAGGATAACCTCAGTGAACATGACCATTTACACTTGTCTCTGTTGGTTGCCATAGAGATGCAGTAGAGGGCAGTAAGGAAAAAAACATGCATGCTCCGAAATGCTTACACCTGCAAAGCAGGCTTTGCATGTAGGCCTAGGTCTAGGTTTAGGTACATGTTTCACTGGTCAGTAGCATGGCCGGAATATTTGAAGCACGACGCGGTCGAACTTTGCAGCCATCTGGCATGTCATGTGAGAGCTGAATGATGCGGGATTGCCTTGCGTGTTCTAGGTCCCCCAGTAGTGCCCTTTTACTCTTCTTTGGGGGAGGGTTCCCCCACTAAATACACTACCGAAGAAAAGTTGGTACCCTTATTCTAACCTCTTGACTGCAGGACCTAGTGTTTGTTTTGGTTGTTTCTTCCGATTGTCTGGAAGTATAGCAGCCTTTCCGGATCCCAAAGTTTTGAGTCGGTGAGTTGTTGCAATTCAGCCTCGCAACCAGCCAGGGACTGGCTCTGGTGCAAAAATGAGGCCTCAACTCATTCCAGGATCATTTTCTAGGGGTTGGGTCCCCATTCTTTTCAACTATCGTTATTTTCGAAAACCGGATCCGTTTTCCCGGGTTTCTGGCGGTTTTCTAGAAAGAAGGATCCCTGGAAAGAATGGGGGAGGTACCCCTAGGTCATTGTTGGGGATGCTGTTGATTTTCAGGAAGCGACAAGGATCAGATGCTCAGATCGCGCTCTTGTTGATTTTCTCCGAGGCTTGCAGCTTGCAGTTTGTGGCAGTTATTTATGGGCCTGCAGATTGAAGGGATCGACTTAATTGGGCACTGTGCTCGCATATTCACTTGTGTGAGTGTGTCAGTGTCCCATATATGATATTTATATATATAATATATGTACGTGATATGAGCAATGGTCAACATTTATCATCATTTGCTTTACCCAGAGAAACGACATGGGCCAAACTCACCGAGTTAGCATTGGAAATGGGGAGGGGCGGGTGTGGATTCTTCTAACTCTAAGGTCAGTTGGGGACACAAGGAATACTGGCTGTGGGCCAAAAACATGATGCCAGGGGGCTGAAAGGTTCGCGCATGAAGCGCTGACACCAGCGGCTGTCCATGCCAAAGCTGCGCGCTGAAAAGGGTTGAGCACTGGCAGGCATGAAGCTGGGCTCATGTGTTTGACCAGATCCCCTTCGGTCATCTAGGCAGGCGGGTTCCATGTTAAGTGGATGGGAGGGTACCAGTTTTTATCAGTTTAAAAACTCGTGGTTTGCAGGGAAGGCTCGTTCCAATTCTCACTGGTTAGAAGTAAAATCAATGTCAGTTTCGAGGCCCTTTTTGCACAGCGACCAGGGAGCGACGTCTGTGTGAGTCAAGGGGAGGCTTTTTGTGAAACGCTTGCTGCGAAGTTGGATAAGGGAAGTGACACTTTGAGGTCGGGGACAATCCGATGGCCCTCTTTCAAGCGGTCTTGGGCTTCAGGCCAATTTCCCCTACGCTGGCTGCTCTTTCCTTCGGCATGCCCAGGATGGTGTTGGCATTGTTGCGTTTAGGGCCCAAAGGTTGTGGTTGCTACCTTCTCTCCGTATGCCTTGGGAAGAGGGCTTTCCTCTTCGCGGTGCCAGCTTCCATGTTGGGAAGGTATCACCCTATCCCAGTTTGTCAGGGTCACACGTCTGCCCCCCAGGGGCGCAGAAGCAGCAAATGCCGCGGATCGTGGTGCAGCTGTATACCTACCAGGCGCGAGTCGGTCGGTTTGGGGGGTGGGAACCAGGAGGCCTGGGGGTGTGCTGTTTGAGTCTGCCAGGTTTACTGGTCCAGGGTCGACACTGAGTCTCTTCCGGACTGGGGGTCTTGCCTTAAATGGGTGTGTAGTGAGCCCAGCAAAATGGGTGGTTTCTCCTTTGTTTCCTTTGACCCCGCAAAGGATGCGTACCAAACAAAGACTTGCCCGGCTTTATTTGTCCGTTTTGCCCCCTCAGCCCTCAGCACTGGGCCCTATTTTAGATCGGGTCGGCTTTGAGGAGCTGTTTTTTGCCAGGTCCGTTGGGCAATGATTTGGGGATAGTGGGCGACATTCGGACATCCAACTTAACGTTGACCCCGGATTAATAAATTCCTCCCATTATTAGGGGGGTGTTCCTCCAAAAGTGGTCTGAATCCCCACTAAAAGGGGACACCCCCCTATTAATCAACCTGGGGCACCCCCTAAACCAACCAAGAAGCTAAGAAGCTAAGGAACCAGATGGCTGGGAGGCGATCCCCAAAATGGGAGTCGAGATTGCTGGTGGTCTCAATGCCTGACCAAAGCCTTACCTGATGTGCCCTGTGAGAAATCAGAACCACCAACTTGTTGGTGTGATCCTGACAAACGTTGCACCCTAGTTGCGCAATTTCCAAGGCTTCGTCTAATTTTACATTCACCCGAATTTGAGAAAATACTGTCTGGCGGTGTCACTCAGTGTGATGTGGCGAAATCTGGGAGATAAGCAACACTTGGCGGATTCAAAGATGATAGCTTGGTTGTATTCCTGAACCTACTGGATACTTAGAAGCATGCGTTCAAGGTATCTGCGTCGGCTCTCTCAAATAAGGATGGCTTCCCAATTTGGCTTCCCTCTAAAACAACCCCAACATGCTTTCCTCATACACCGGCTTAAATCGAGCAGGTTGCCCTTACACAGAGGCATGTCCAAAGGCCAAGTGTCACGCTGCGAACAATCTTGGGATTGCTACCTCAGAGTAGCTCAAAACGGAGACTTTCCCGGCGAATCACTTGAAAGGCGGCACAAGTGTCACTCAATGCTTGGTCTGCGTGCGCGGTCGAACAGTACTTTGTTTGCTAATTCCCGCATGTCAACAAAATGCGCTCTGGACTTTGAATGGTGACTCCTGATTCGGAAAAGCGCTTACGAAAACACGGAAGGCAAATCATATCCAATAGTCCAGCATCCAAGCAGGGGGACCGGCGCTGAGTTGAATAGCTGGAAAAAGCGCTTGATTTTCTGGCCCAACTGAAAATATGACGAAAATTGGCAACGCATGCTTTCTAAGTTTGGAAACTAAGAAGGTTGGACTGGACTCTGCTGAAAAAAACAGCAGAACAGTCTTCGTCTCAGTTGACAACAACCCTTTCGGGTCCCAGTCGTTTCCAAAGATCAGTCCCTTCCTGTGGCTCTCCCAAACGCAACTTCAAACTTGTTACAAGGTCTCACATTGCAACACACCTTAGGTTACTCTGAATTGGTGGTTTGGATTGGTGGATTTTCCGGGCCCAGTTTTGACGTGTCCGGCGCATCTGCGGAGCATCTGCGTCGCGGTTCGCGTCGCGGTTCGCGTCCCGAGACCTGCCGCGCTTTGGCGCATCTCCACGCCAGCGGCGTGGTGCACCGCGACATCAAGCGCGCCGCCCCGTCTGGGGAATGTGTCTCTCACGCGGAAACCCGAAAAATCGACCAACCAACAAAGAAACGGCATGGGAAAGATCAATATTTTGTGCCGTCATTTGCGCCACAATCAAGGGGGACAACATTTGGCACTCACGGGAATGAAAGGAATTGTGGGGGTACTCATCAAACTCTAATGCACTCGGGGCGCAATGAATATTGACTGTTGCTCATAACTGGCATGGCCCTTTCTGGATTGGTTTAAAAAGCCTGACCACACCATAGAATCAGGAATCGGTCCCTAATGTTGCCCAGTTTGCCTCGGGTGTCTCCCCGAAGGATGGGGAACCAAAGAGCCTGCCTTTTCTTGTTCTGGCAAAATGTCACGTGGGCCCAGATAAACTCTGAATCGCTGGACTTTGTAGCTAGAAATCCATGACAAGAAAGCATCTAACTTCCCACAGACAGGTTGAAGGGGTGCTCCCGGTGGTTGGGAAGGAAAATGCCCGGTGTGGGGGAATGGGAGAAGCTTCCACTTATTTGGGGGTGTAACCTTTGTCAACGGGTGATTCTGAAGTTCGGAAGATCGTGTTTTGCTGTTGCTGTTGCATTGCAATTTTCTCCGGTCGACGCCGGTTTGCAGCAATTCCCATTGACCAATCACTAGCAAGGGGAGCCCAGTTCAGCGTGAAGACGAGGGAAAAGTGCCTACCCCTGTGTGAGTTGATCAACCCATGTCTCAGTATCTAGCAGTGCACACGGACAGAGGCAGGCACACAACCATCGTGAGAGGCGTCAGTGCCATTTGGCCGGATCTAGAGATGACCCTGGAATGTTGTATTTGTTGTGTCGCAGCTGAAGTTAAAGCATGAATGTCCAATATTTACCCCACGAGCATGCAGAGTCAGCCACTGGTTGGTGGTGCAAAGAGTTGTTGGACGTTGTTGACCCTTTGTTCAACCTCCGAAAGATGAACCAAGCCCTTACCCTGACCCGAAATGTGCTGTTCAAGATCGTTGGAAGGCTTTCAGCAAGGAAAGGGCTGTACATCTCTCTCCTTCTGATGTGACTCCCATTGCATCTTCAAGCTCGGCGGAGTTGCTTTAAAACATTGGCAAGTTCCAGAGAAGAACGAAACACGGAACGCGTCTACCAGCGAATTCGGAGTGATACAGTTTGCTCCAAGGGTTCTACGTTTTTGGGATGCTTCCTCGGGCAACAAGCAAATGTGGGAGCTTTGGTACCTTTCACCCACAAAATCCAGTTTGGGGAGAACAACATCGTGGACCACCCAAGTTTCCAACAGCAGGGGAACAGTTCCCCAATTTCCCCCATGCCCTCTTCAAAAAGAAGTGTGTCACAATCAAACCCCGGGTAATTGGAGGGTCAGGGACAATCCCCATCATACATGGTTCTGGGTAGACCATCTTTTTACCAGGTGTTTACTTGAAGTGATTTTGTCAGTCAAAGTTCTGGGGTCATCATTTTGACTGTTTCTGGAAGTGATCAAAGTCCGAAAATGGGGGTTGTTTCCCTTAACCCCACAACTTGGAGGGTGGCTTTGATCATTGCAAAAACACGAGGGTCGAACGAGGGTCGAACAGTCGCTGAGGCCGCAGAACTTGTTGGTGGACGCCTCCCGCGGCCACCTGCTGAAACTCTGCCTGGAGCCCGGGCTGCTTACGGGGCTTCGCGGAGGCGGCCTTCGCCTTTCGTGGATCCACTAGCGGTCACCCCAACTGGCCATGGGTCAAAATCCAAATCGGTTAGCCACCCCCACTCAAATAGATTAGAATGGGTGGTGCACCTACCCCCAAATGGGATCCCATTGGTTTTGACCCACAGCCAAATGATTGAAGGGCCCAGGCAGATCCAATCAGAAAAGCCACAGCAAAACCACAGCCTGGAAGCTCAGCTAGCAAGCCAGCGACCGCACGCCTGTGGGCCTGCCAGCTTGGCAGGGAGCCGTCACGGGTTGCGGGGGTCGGTCTGGCCAACTGGGCGTCGGGAGCCTGTCAGAGCCGATCCGAGTTCGGTAAGAATATGGTAGGAAGGGGCGGTCAACTGAAGTCTGTGGTCTGAACGTCCAGGTTTGGGGGGGTTGAAGGCCTGGAAGAGGATTCCAGATTGAGTTTCCGGGGGAGCTGTGCCTTTTTAGAATGGATCGTCCAATTCTGGGGTCTCACCTTGGAAACCTCGTTTTTGAGAAACGCTGTGGGCTTTGTGCAGTGGATTCGGATCTTTAGATCTTTGAAGGACTTTGCTATTTGGGCATACGTCGTTCCCTTCGCAGGGGACGATATATAGTTCTGGTGATCTTGGAAGGGCAATACTTGGCTGTTGACTGTCTAACGGAACGTGGACACCCGGTTGTCATGCCTCTTGAAATTTGTAGACCGCTCATTTGAAGGCTTTGCTTTACATTAGGTTTCATTAGGTTTCATTAGCTTTCATTAGCTTTCATTAGGTTTCATTGTACTACGTACATTACATACATGAATGTGGCAGAACCCACCCATCAAGCATGGGAAACCTCCAACAAGTGATGTGGAATATACATTTACATATATACACACAGAGGGGTGTGTTTTAAAATAGGAAACCTCTAACATGGTGGTGTCCCTTTTGGTTTCCCTTCCAAGCCCAAAATGGGGGTTCACAAACGAGAGATCCATATACCTCAGATACAGGGGTCCCTATATTTCCCTTTTTGGCTGTTTCCAAACATCACCTTTTTGGCCCATGAAAGGTGAGTATCCCTTGGTGGGGGTGATGTTTTTTTTCGGGGAAATATAGGGAGCCCTGAGATTTGGTCGCCCTGCGACTTGCCCGATGGCCTAAGTCGCCTCTCAGGCGACTTTGGCTCCGCAGCGCGGCTGAGCCAGGGCCGGCCGGCCCTGGCGCGGGAGCCCGGCCGGCGGAATAAAACGCCGCGGAAGGCAGCTTTCGCGCGTTTTGGGTTTGGTTGTTTGGTGGTTGTCTGGTTGTTTTGTTTGGTTTTTGTTTTGTTTGTTTCTTGCTTTGTTGTTTCTTTGTTTTCCGGTGTTCTTGTGTGTTCTTGTGAGTTGTTGTGTGTTCTTGTGTGCTCTTGTGTGTTCTTGTGTGTTCTTGTGTGTTCTTGTGTGTTCTTGTGAGTTGTTGTGTGTTCTTGTGTGTTCTTGTGTGTTCTGCTGTGTTCTTGTTTGTCCTCGTGTGTTCTGGTGTGTTCTGGTGTGTTCTTGTGTGTGTGTGTGTGTTCTTGTGTGTTCTTGTGTTCTTTTGTGTGTGTGTGTGTGTTTGTGTGAATTTGTGTGTTTGTGTGTTTGTGTGTTTTTGTGTTTGTGTGTTTGTGTGTTTGTGTGCTTGTGTGCTTGTGTGCTTGTGTGTTTGTGTGTTTGTGTCGTTGTGTGTTTGTGTGTTTGTGTCGTTGTGTGTTTGTGTGTTTGTGTCGTTGTGTGTTTGTGTGTTTGTGTGTTTGCGTGTTTGCGTGTTTGTGTCGTTGTGTGTTTGTGTGTTTGTGTGTTTGCGTGTTTGCGTGTTTGTGTGTTTGTGTTTTTTTGTGTTTGTGTGTTTGTGTGTTTGTGTGGTTGTGTGTTTGCGTGTTTGTGTGTTTGTGTGTTTGTGTTTGCGTGTTTGCGTGTTTGTGTGTTTGCGTGTTTGCGTGTTTGTGTGTTTGCGTGTTTGTGTGTTTGCGTGTTTGCGTGTTTGTGTGTTTGTGTGTGTTGTGTGTGTTGTGTGTGTGTTGTGTGTTTGTGTGTTTGTGTGTTTGTGTCGTTGTGTGTTTGTGTGTTTGCGTGTTTGCGTGTGTTTGTGTGTTTGTGTGTTTGTGTGTCTGTGTGTGCGCGTGTTCCCTTGCGTTCTTTTGCGTTGTTATTTTTTGGCAGCTGGGGCGGTGATGGAAAATGACCCGTCGAACAAATCGTACTCATAGCGTCATGAGCCTGCTGACTGACTGGCCGTTAGCGGCAAATGAGCAGGGGGCCGCAATTTTATCCAAGCAAACAAAGCGGAAGTTTACGAAAAAAGCGTGCAGAAGACCGCGGGAACGCTTTAAACCATGACAATGCTCATGTTACCGTGAAATTAAATGGTAAGGCGTCTTGTTGCAAAGGACGGTGGCACTTACCGAAATAGTGTCAACAAATCTCATCACAATTCAGAGGAACTGGGCCGAGGGAGCTGTCCTTATGCTAAAAGTATCATGCTGGCATGTTAAGTTGCCAGGGATGTTGTCACCACATTTACATGGATGACACAGGTTTGATATTGGTGAGGAAACTGAGACGACCGCTGAGGCGAACCTTGGTTGTCTTATGTGATTGTCACAAGCAATTCTTTCTACCCAGACGCTCCCAACTTATGTTTCGGGCCCAGACCCTCAGTTTCGGGGGCCCCGGCCCAAATATCCGATGGTTTTCCGACGGTTATCCGACGGCACGAGGGCCCCGTATCCGACAAACAGGCCGGTCCCTCCTAGGAGGACCCCGGACCCCCTAGGGCCCACGAGCGTCTGGGTAGGCAGACAAGAATGACCTCACAAGAGCAATGCGACCTCACGCATGACAAAGGTTTCTTTCTTTGAGTTCCTTGGTTCAGGTCGATTCTTTGCCTTTGCGGCTCTTTGGCGCGGTTTTTAGTTTTGTTGTTCGGTTCAGGTTCATGCTGTGTTAGAGGCTGCGAAGAGCTGCTTGGCTCATATACCAAGGGTTGGAAGGTTATGTTTCACCCAGCCTCCTCAGTTCCCCCACGAAATTGTGACGTCCTTGGCTTTGAAGGCCACTTTCGGAAGTCTGGGCACGCGTCCTCTGGATTTTGCGGTTTCTCCCAGATAAGCGTGCCTTCTCAAGGGTTGGTGTGTTGGTTTGTCGGCCTTGGCTCTGGCTAGATACTTTGAGGCATCACCAGTTCGGAGGCATCACCAGCATCAGAGGCATCACCAGCATCAGCAGCCGCACAGGCATCACCAGCAGCCATGGATGCGGATTTGCACGTCGCACAGCGCCAAACAAAACAGACTCGGATTTTTTTCGGGCCTTCTCCAGATTTTGCGGGTTTTGCGGGCCTTCTCCGGGTTTGCGTGCTCCCCCAACGTACGTTACAGTAAAAACGCACATCGGCTTTTCCCGGGGCATCGTGCCTTCTCAGTTGTTTTAAGTTTTTCTTCGGGCGGTTCGCCCCCCCTCTCCGGTTCTGCGTCGGCCTGATCGTGTCCGCTGTCTGATTTCTTAGGGATCCTAGCCGGTTTTTAACCACAGGGAAAACAACAGGGTTCCATTTCCAGTCCCAGGGGCCCAGATTGCTTGTGTTGTGAAACAGTGCCAAAAGAGAAAGAGTACTCAGTGCGCTGAACCTTTGTGTGCAAGCAATCATCAAGTAAGTTCATGTCTGGGTAGAGCACCCTTTAGCAGGGATCTAAGCATTGAGAAGGCATGGTCCCCTGCAGAAGCCCCGGGGATGGGGGTCCAAACCCTCGACACTTGGGAAGATGCGCTTTGCGCCTCCATTCTGACCCGCAAGGGTTGTATAGGTGGTGCAGGTAGATTCCCGTCCCGAATGGTTCTGAGAACTCTTCTAAGAACCTCTTCTAAGAAGGTCCCTTTGGCTTTCCTGCGGGGTGCGTTTGGGGGTTGGGACTTCGTTTGTCGCTTTCGGGAGCCGCTCGAGTGGAGCTCTGAACTCTGAGGTGGCCTACATCTGCTCCCGCTACTACCGCGCGCCGGAGCTCATTTTCGGTGCCTCGAACTAGCAACACCTGGCGTGTTTGGATGATGCGAATGTAGCAGCCTGGCAAAGGGCGGGCCTGACCGAACGTTTGACTCCTTTGGTTTGCGGCTTGCTGAACACACTTCGCTCTCGCTAGCAGTTCCTCACAAAGAATCTGGTTATGCTGAGATGGCTTACAGAAAAGTAGCGTGCCTTCCTTTCATCAATTGCGATCAAAAACTGCAGGATGCTTGTTTTCATGGCAACATAATCCAAGTGCCCTTGTTGCTGCTTGGGCTCCCTGCGTGTTTACTTGCTAGTAGGGGAAGCTCATGTCCCCGCTAAGGGGCACAAGGAAGCACGAGCAACTCTCGCCAAAGTCTGTTGCCTGGAATTGTCCTGCCATCAATCATGTGGCTCAAAGTGTGCGTGTGTCAATTGCCGAGGGGTGAGACGGCTGCAGCAAATCGCCGGCGAGCAAGCAGAAGACTTATGGCCTCGGCCTCGCTTGAAAGACCGCCGCAAAAAGATGCACAAGTCTCTTGTCCACGCGTGTTTCCCACTCCCCGAGTTCCTGGACTTTAGACTTTTTGGGAGGATCATTGTGGCACGTAACAAGTTTGGACTTTTTCTGGCCAATCCACTCAGGAAGTGAGTGTTTCCCACGGACCCTCGGAGCTGAGAAGCGGCTTTGCCGCTGGCGCAAGCGAACCGAAGCGCTTTGCTTCCGCGCCAGCACTACGGCGGTGGACCTCTGGTCCGCGGGCTGTGTGCTCGCAGAGATGCTGAGAGGACGGGGAAGAGGGGAAGACAGGCCTGGGCAAATGTTAGTAGCAACCAGACCCTGGACCCATGTAAAGGGGAAGCAAAAGGTGGTGGTTGAAGCATAGTTCTTTAAGCTTTGGTGCATTTGTGCTTGGATGTTAGGACTTTAACATTTTGCCAACTAATGGGTTTTTCATTAAAAAACTAAAAGTTAAACTTTTAGCAGGGGAGCAGAAAGCAAGCGAGTAAACATGTTTAAACATGGTTAAACAGGGGGGTTGGCCTGTGTGAGGATTAGCTGGCAGACAGCTGGGCCAAATAGTTGCCTGCCTCTAGAAAGAGTTGGTACAATTGTATGGTCATGGGCTTAACATGAGGCTTTGTGGCAACCTGGTTTTGTTTCTGGGCGACAGAAGGCGAAATGAAAGAGTTGTCAATCTCAAGGGGCGCTTCCAAGCGGTGATCAAATAAGGATAGGCTTTCTCTTGATCTTCCAAGCAAGGATCTCCCATGTTGGACACCCATCTCAGGTTGGCAACGGTCAATGTTCACCGTCATCTCTCTCTTGTGAAAAGAATGACGCGCAGCGTCTTGTGGCAACCACATAGCCGGCAGGAAATGGCTATTACCCGCCAATTGTCCTTTGTCATCGCTCTTTGCACCTGCAACACCAGTTCATGACAAGGTTGCTGGCTTTTATTTTTGTGTCGTCTATATCAGCTCGGATACTACTGAGATGGTAGGCCAAATACCTCATGGTTCGTACCTCTCTCAAAGTGGGACCTGATTGTCAACCAGGTGCAGCATGTTTGAGTTGACTCGTCTCTCACTCTTAAACTGCCTGTGTTTATTTCCGGCCATTCATATTTTGTCCGCGTGGTCTCTCCGCGCTTCATGGTGCCCGATTCGGGATTCGGCAGGGCGCCCGCTCTTCCCGGGGGAGAATGGGGTGGACCAGTTGGTGGAGATTGTCAAGGCGCGGAGAAAGTTTCAGCAAGTCTGCCCGAATGCCTTTCTCAGTTGCCCAAAGCCGACCTTTTGATCTTTTGGTTTCTCCTTGTTGGTCTAGTTTTAGTCATGACCCCAAAAGGTTAACCTTTTATTTCTGGGTCCTTTGGGCAAGTGAGCTTTTGAGGCCCTGGTGAACGGTTGGCGGAAAAGAAAGCCGTGGGTCTCCAGTTGAAAGGAACCGACCGTTGGAAGTTGTGTGGTGTCTCAGGGACGTTTTGTCCCAGTGTCCATGCTAATCTGTTGGTGATTATTGTACTTTGCCCAAATGCTGTCGTACTTAGATGCTGTCGTACTTGAATAGGGGCTTTGGCAGCTTGGGGAATATCAGCAACAAGTCAAACTGGATTTTGTGAGGAGGTGAGGAGGCACACGCTGACATAAACCGCACCACTTTTTCAGCAGCTGGTCATCCAGAGGTGCACCCGCAGGTGCTTCCAAAAGGCGTTAAAGCCGTCCACTCGACATGTCAATCTATTGCCGTCAACGCACAACACAATTGACCACCTTGACACAAGAAATGAAACGAGATCCTAAAATCGGGGACCAAAAACATGGGGATGGCGGTAAACGGGACAAATAGGAAGAAGCAAATTGTCCCAAATTTTCAAGAGCCACAATTGGTACCCCAGGAAGTGGAAGTGAGTACTTTCTTGGCATAGGGCACCTCACTCTAGGCCTAGAGTGAGGCACTGCCAAGAATTTTCCGGCTTTTGACCTTCTTTTGCCTAAAACACATGTTTGGCATGGCTTGAAAACAGCCAGCCAAGAGTCTCACCTACTAAGCCGGAGGAAAACAAACACATGTTTGGCATGGCTTGAAACAGCAAGCCAAGCATTCGGCCAAGAGTTCATGCCAAGAGTCTCGCCTGGTGAGCTTCCGGCCCAGCATTCTGATTGCGACCAGGTCGTACATGTTCTTTCGGGAGGCCTCTTAGAATACCTTGTTGGTGCAGTTGTTTTTTTCCCATTTGGCAACCAGACGCTCCAAGAGCAAGCGACTCCTGCAATGCAACCAGCAACCAGCAACGATCCTTTTGATGTCCGCTTGGGGAAGGTTGGCATGCCTCGAAGCGGAAACCTAGGTAGGCTAAAAGGACTCCCCCGACTAGGCCCGGTGCCCCTGCCTTTCCCAGGCTTCCAGCTCTTTCAACTGGTTTGTTTGTGGAAGTCTCTTGTGTCAATGCTGCTCATGTTCCATCTCATACATCTTTCCGAAATCGTGGTGTTTTTTCATCTTCAGACGCAACCTCCCCAAAACCCCATTTTTAGCAACAACGAGCGGGTTGCAACATACCCATGTGGGTGTGGCTCAAAATTAAACGATCGGAGGGGCAAACTGCAGGTTTTGGTTTCCATGTTTCCACTTACCGATCGGGCAAGCCATGTTGGAATTCCGTTTTTTTGAGCCACAGCCCATGTGAACTGCACATCACGCGTGGATGACACATGGCTCACCTCGCGATTTTGGAATTCCCAGCGATCCATGCCTCAGGTGCTGGGCGCGCCTTCACGGCGCCAGGTCTTAGCCATGAACCCCCAGTGCTCTCACCTTCCATTTGCTTTCACTACCGTTTTTTATATATATCAGGGCTCCTTAAAAGATACATTTTGCCCATTAGAAACATGGCTTTTCTGCACCAAAATAAAGGGACACCGCCATTTACAAGGCAGTGTTCAGGTGTATAATGTAAGGATCCCTGTATATATATATATAATATATATATATATATATGTTTTTTCCCAGGGGACAAAAACGCAAAGGGAGGTCTCCGGGGGGGAAAAAAACAACGGCTCAATTCATGTTCTGAGTTCCCGGACTCGGAGACTCGGAGACTCGGACAGAGTCACTTTTTCGTTGGGCTGGACCATTTGTTGGGGACATGTCGGTGGTCAAATCCACTTTTTGGTTTTGGCTTGGTTTTTGGGTCAAATCCGCTTTTAGGTCATGTCGGTTTTTGGTTTTTTGGGCCGAGGTTCGGACTTCTTTTTTGGTCAAATCCACTTGATCTGAAGTGAGACGCAAGGGGATTGGGTGTAAAGCCTTCCACCAATCCCTGGAGTTTATGATCCTCAGCCTGCGGTTTTGGGGGGTCTCAGCCAATAGGAGAAAAGAGCAACATGGAGGTCCCTGGCAACTGGAATAGCGACACAAGAAACCTTTGTAAATTCATTCCCAGGGGCGACCCACAAGTCGCGGGGAATGTCGAGGTCGGGACGTACCGAATCAAGGGACATACCGCCCCAATATCGCCCTGTGCTTCGGGGAACGACGCATTAAAACATCATTTTGCCATGTATATACTCTGTAAGGGGACTGCCCCATGAGTTTTTTGAATCTCTTTCTCTCTCTCTCTCTATGTGTATTTATGTGTATGTATACACGCACATACATACACATACATATAGTATGTATAATATATATATATATATGTACAAGCAACATATCCATGACTGACATACAGTCATTTGTCTCATTGAACACCTCCCCCTTTGGAGGACCTCGCTAAACTTTGGGGGGGCCATAGGTACTTCAGCTTCGCCTTCCCCGCCGTGAAGCCTTGCTCTTGGTGCCCGAGGGCCCAAGTTTTTGCATCCTCGCTGGCATCTGGGGGAGGGAGGGGGGTGTGGGGGGTGGGGGGGGGGGGGAGGGAGGGAGGGAGGGGGGGCGGGGGGGTTGGTTTGAGAGTGGTTCCAGTGGGGAGGGTTGGTTTCAGAGTGGTTCCAGGTGGTCCAGGTGGGTGTGGCTGGGGTTGGCAAGTTGGCTCCTGGGGCCTTGTTGCCCTGGTTGCCCTTTCGGCTTGTTTTGCATTTTTCCCTTCTCGGCCAGCGGCAAGCCAAGCTTGTGCGCGTCCATGACTGGCCCTGAGCCTCAGCGACGGGCAGCTAAGGAGCCTTCTCCAATTCAGGAAGCAACGGTGAAACCCATCTGGAATCCTTTCATCAAGCCATGCCATGTCAAGCCGCATGCAGGAGACTCCGCACCGGAGCGCGGATCTGTCGTGATTCGCCCGCCCGAAGTGTAGTTAGATCGCGACAATGCAATTTAGAACTGAGCCGGAGCCTGCCATTCCTGTTGCACAGCAAGGGGTCCCTTGTATCAGTACTTAGAGGGGCATTGTACTTTGTAAGTGATTAGTAAGCCTGGTTATACTCTTGTAACCCACTTCGGAGACATGCAGCCATGGTAAGTGGGTTATAACGAGGCTTACTCACCACTTACTAAGTACAATGCCCTTTTAGTAGCCCCAAACATTTTTTTTATGCGCACACGTAGCATGCGTAGCGCAAAAGCGTCGTCGTCACGTCGTCGCATAACCGAGGCACCGTCTTCAGGAAGTCGGTGGGCAGTGAGCGCCGGCCCAAGGGGTGCAAGAGCCTTCCATTGGCTTGAGGATATTTTTCATTTTTGCCCCCTGTTGGTTTCAAGGGGAATCTATCACTACTGGATATATTTGTATTTTTTTTCCAGGTGCTGAAGCACATGGAAGGAGCCAAGCGCTGAAAGTCGGAGTCCGTTTTTTGTCGTAGATGCTGGGAGAGAGGACCCCTTGATTCTTGACCTGGTCTTGTGTAGACTCAGTTGATGCCAGGTTGTTTGCGATGACATATGTGTATTTGGCCTTTTTTTGGAGTTGGTACCTCTTGTTTGATGGTTTTACAGGGAACTCAAAAGGAAGACCAAAACTTTTGGTAGTTCCTTCAAACACACACAGGTCCCCCAGTAGTGCCCTTGTACCATTTTTTGGGGGAGCCCCTAGTAAAAAAGACTACGGAAAAAAGTTGGTACCCTTATTCTAAGCTCTGTACTGGAGGTTCTAGACACCCATCTTGCAAGATGAGTTGTCGAACCTGGGGTTTACAGAGGATGCAGGGCTGCCAGTGTTCTCCTCAGCGGCTCGCCCAGGTTTACGACACTCCTAGGTGAGTTCCTCCAGTGCCCTGGGCCGATGATGGCAAGTCGGTAGGATCGCGCAGTGTCTTAAGGAGCTATGAGGTTCTTCAGGGGGATGTTTCCAACTACCCCCTCCCCTTACCTCCCTTGAGAACCCCATGGAGCCGTCACTTCGGAGTCTAGAGCTGTGGAAGAGTTCACTTCCGCCCACAGAGAATCGCTCGGCGCCTTTGGGCCACCTGCAGCAGTTTGTCTTCTGCCAACTGCACTAGCCGAACTTCCCTGAGCTTCCGAATGCTGCGGGGTGGCGCTGGAGTGCACACAGCGAGCAATGCGATTTTCCACGATTGACGGGTTCCTTCGGTGACTGTCCGCCTGAAAGTGATTTTCCACGGATCGGGCCGTTCCAACAACCATGTGGGGAAAAACTAATGTGTGGAGTTGACAAAGTGACTCATTGTTTCGTTGTGGGTAGAACATCTACCCGAAGTGAGACCTTTCGGCACAAATCCATCATTCCAAAAGAGTTTTTGCTGAGGAGGCTCCACATTGACTCTACATCCAGTGGCTTAGTGAGTTTCCCTCCGTTTTCCCTACTGACTCTTGGTGGTTTCCAGCCATCCCCCTTAGGTTTTTAGCTTTTTTGTGTTTAGTGATCCATTTAGCCCACAAGTTAAAACCTTTTTGTGGGGGATCTGAAAACGGACAGCCCAGTCCTATGTTTATTCTTGCTGGTGCTTTCCAACTTCCCTGCCTCTCGCACCAAGTCTTTGATTATATCCCAAAAAACCATCCGGCCATTTCAACCATAGGTGTCCTTTTTCGTTGTTTTGGTGGGAAAATAGAGACGGCCCTGGTTTACCTGGTGGTTTTATCATACCAGGGCGAACTATTTGCCCTAAAGTTTACCTGGTGTTTTTTTGTTCCTCATCTACCAGCAAAACCCATCTAGTTGCCCGAAAAGGACACCAGGACACCTACGACAACCCATTCCCAACCCCCAAGTCTGCGGTCCATTTGAAACCCCAGGTACGACCCTGAGGCGCGGCTGAAGCCCCTGGAGGCTGGTTGCGTGGGGTCAGCCAGAAACTGGGTTTTGCTTGTGCCTTACTTTAGTCAGCAAAAGCGTTGGTCAGTTTAGAGTGGGCTCAACCTCTCAAGCTGGGCCGAAAGTTGAGACCTGATAATAAGCAGGGGCTGTGGCACAATGGCAGCGCGCCCGGCATTGGCCAGGAGGTTGCAGGCTCAACAGCCTCATGCGCTTCATAGCTTCTTTGCCCGCACACGCATGCGGCCAGGCGGTCACAGTTGGCCCAAACTGGCTTCCTTTCTTTCGCGACAAGCGCAACGTGCGCTTCGCCCGCAATGAGTGTGCGCCTACCCAGCGGCAGGGAGCTGATGAGCGCGGACGAGTTTGCCCAGTGGTGGCATGGCAGGATGTGCTGGGTGCCGAATAGCTCATGATTTTCAATGTCCCACAAGGAAACCATCGCAAGAAGATGGTTATTTCTTGACCCTCTACTTGCTGCAACACACGGAAACCAGAATGCCACGGAAAATCCATGCCACACCACCAGCACCATGCACAAGTGATCCTGCTCTTAAGATCGGTCGTTCTCATTTCAAGTTCTGCTGAACTGGGCTGGCATCGCCGAGATACAGGAAGCGAACCGTGCACAAATGGCGTAACGACGCGGTGTTCTCTAGTTGGGGTGTCTTGAAACTCCCTGTGGGTTAAAAAGGGGGAAACAACCGAAAGCCATTGCCATGGTGGTCTCACTTCCCGAGTTCCTGGACTTTATACTTCTTGGGAGGATCATCTTAGTGGCACGCAAAAAGGTTTGGACTTTTTCTGGCCCATCCACGGAAGTGAGTGGTGGGGCTTTCCAAAATTTGAGCCAAGACCAATCTTGCAACCCCTGACTTCCCGGACTTAATGTGCGTTTTTTTTCTCGCTTTTCTTTTGGGGCGGGTCCCGCGCTGGAGGTCTGACATCTTGGTTTCCTTGGACCAATGGTCAGCCATGTCGTGGTTGGCCAAGCATCCATGTTTTTTTTTGGTCAACGTCTGGTCGGGTGATTTTGGTTTAGGGATGTGTTGGGTCAAAATCAAACCTGCAGAGCAGGTGGTCGTCCGTGTTTCCATTTACCAGGAGTCCATGTTGGGTACCGATTGTTGACAAATACCGCAAATCACTCTTCAATCAACAGCCCACAACACAACACTCAAAGAAGCCACAGGCTGACACGACGTGGACAGCTAGGAACGTTAAGCAAGCTTCAACGGGGCTCCTCAAAAGATACATATTGCCCATTTGAAACATGGCTTTTTCCATCAAAATAAAGGGAAACCACCATGTACAAGGCAATGTTCAGGTGTATAAGGAAAGGAAAGCTGTTTTGCGGTCGCCGATTTGTGCCGTTTGGTTTCCAGTTTTTGGCAGCGGGTCCCGGTTTTCGCCCCTCCACCTCGACCTTTTTTCCTTGTGGGTGTCCAAATTTGGGGCCGTGTAGCAACAGAAGCGTGGTCAAAACGATTTCGGTTTCGCGGCCGTAGGTGTCCTTTATAGGTTAGTTTGCTTAAAATTAGATGTGTTCCACTGGTTTAGATGCAGTTTATAAACCATTTACCAGGGGAACCACATCTATTTGGTGGTTTGCAGTTTGGATTTGAACCCCTGGTTCTTGTAGCCCTCCAGCCACCTTATCTCAGGCTAGTGAAATATATACATAGATATACATATATATATATATAATTATATATTGAAATCCCTACGCGATCCTCCGACGCCAGTGTGGTGCAATCAATTTTAAGACCTTTTTCATTTTTTTTCCATGAAAGTGATGCTGGGAATGCTTTACATGCAAGGGATGCAACCACACAACTTACAGAAACATACCCAATCTTCGCATCCAACATTTCAAGACTTTCAGACACGCAAAACAGCAGAGAGTTCCTCAACGTATCACGGAACAGCAAAGCACCATTTGTATCTGCAAAAAAAAGAGAGGCAAATTCATGGCAGCAAGATGATCCTGATGATGCCGGGGATGCAGATCCTGCGCGTTCGAGGGAAAACCCCCCCCCAACGCAGATTTTTAGCACGCAAGCCCCAACAACACAGGAAAAATACAGGGTTTTGGACACCCAGCACACCATGCCCAAAAAATGGCAGCCCCAAAAGCCTTCAGCTTTGATAAGAGATTCCGAAGGAAGACCAAGTTGCGGACTGCCATCTGAATGCTCGACTGGCGTCGGCGGATTTTCAACACGATTTTTTTCGGTTTTGACCAACGGCTCTCAGGCGGAAGGACCAGGACCTCTCCGGCGCCTCCGCCTTCGACGCGCTGCGGGGATGCTTGGCCCGGCGCCTGGGGGAGCCAAACTTCCGGCGCCTGGCGCTGGCGGCGAAGGACGGGCGAAATTTGGTTCCAAGCAGGTCGCTCAATCATGGCACCCAACAACTCGGGATTTGCTTTGGCTGGTGTAGAAACAGGGCTCCCCATATTTCCCCCTTCCAAGGGACACTCACCTTTCATGGGCCAAAAAGTGGTGCTGTATAAAAAACCACCAAAAAGGACAAATCTAGAGACCCCTGAGCATGGTGACACCAAACCGGTGATGTTCAAAAACAACCAAAAAGGAAAAATCTAGAGACCCCTGAGCAAGGGGACACCAAACAGGTGATGTTAAAAAAACCACCAAAAAGGGAAACATAAGAAACATAGGGACCCACACTCGACCTTTTCACCTGTTAGTTTCCCTGATTTGGTCCATATTGAGCCAAAATGTCATAAAGTTAACCCATGATTTCCAGTTCCTGTGGGCAACCGAGCTTCACATTTAACCACCACAGGATCCCTAGCTTTTATGCCGCAAGTGTGCCATGGTTTTGATCGACTTGCTTGGAATAAGACAGGCGAAGGGTTGAAACATGTGCCGTGACGTTACAAGGTTAAGAGACCGATTCGCTTACTTGCGGTTACAGCTGGTCACGGACTCTGGCGCAGAGGCATGTTGGCCAAGCATGAGGGTTCCTGAGCTCATGAGCTCATGGCACGCATAGGGTTTGTCTCATGATGTGGGACTGGCTATCGAGACAACCCATGTAGATCACCTGCATAAGTGATTTAAAGGGAAACCAACAGGAAAGCAACACAACCTAACTGGTAGGACGCCAATAGGAAAGCAAAAGACAACAAAAGGAAACCAAAAACAAAACCAAGAGAAGCAGAAGGGAAACCAAGGGAAACTACTTATTCATTTTTTGGGGGCAAAAAAACAAAACAAACAGTCTTGGTGAATCCCCCTTCACTATACTACATACCCGTTTTGTTTGCTGCTTTTCATGGTTGTGGTTGCGGAAACATTGCCACTATGTGTGAGTGGTCAAGAGATTGCCCTTTCAAGTGATACGATTGCGAGGTTCGATGGGAATCGATAACTTTGGCGGTTTACAAATTGGGTGGCCATTTTTCCAAAACCATGCAGTCATGCAGTGAATAACTTTCCTCTTGAGTTGGCAAACTGACTACTCGTTTGTTGCAAAAGTTCAGTGGCCAGCTGACTCAGTCTCTCCCCTGCAAATAAAAAAAAGGGTTCCCCCCAAAACGAGGTCATCTAGGTCCCCTAGTAGTGCCCTTTTACCCCTTTTTTGGCGGAGGGTTCCCCTACTAAAAGGACTGTTTTCAGGATCTGGGGACATGACAATGAGGGTTCCTTTCCCTGGAGGTCTCTATCGGCCTTTGCCTCGGCTGAGGGATTTCTGATCAAATTCAAACAGCTGCTCCATCCGGGGTTGCCAATCCAGTTCCAACCCATTGGGCTGAAGTTGTGCCGGAATCTTGGTTCAGTCAAACAAAATGGCGCCATCTAGTTTGTAATGTTGACCCCATATTCCATCCCAACCAACTGACACTTCCCCAAAATTAGCTCCCATTCTTTGGTTTTTTGGGTCCCTTTTGTTTTCCACTAGGAGGAAAAGGCAGAGAATTTGACGCCCTTTCCTTTCCGTTCCAGGTGCGGTGTGCGCGAGAGTAACCGAAGGACGCGACCCTCACCGGCGAGGCGCCGCTGCCGCTGGGCACGGAGACCATCATGGCGGTGGTGAGGCGGGGGAATGGGGGCCAGCGGGTTGCCCAAATGCCTCGCGGTTTCTGGCGGTTTACCCGGCCTCCATGCATGAGGCCCACCCCTTTCCCAAGGTACGAGAATCTTCTTCGTACATGTTTGGGGCGTTTCTCAGGCGGGGCGCAAGGAAAAGTGGCCGATATACATGTCATGCATGTGGTGTGGGCAAACATGGTGGTCAGGAATGCATTTGATACTCAATTTGCTTAGACAAGCTTGAGGTTTTGCAGGGAAACCATTGGGAAATCACCAATTGTGCGATGCTTACCTGGTTCCAAGCGTCCTCTCTTAACGCCAGTTCCCCTGGTTTCCTACGATCGCAGCATTTGCGGGAGACCTGGAAGATGAATGTCACGGGACCCCGTCAGGTGCCATTTCGCTATGTAACGGGGAGCAGGGAACATAGTGGTTGGTAAGCCTGGTTACCCACAGAACGGAGACCATGGCTTTTGTGGGTTATAACCTATAACCACTCTTTCTCACCAAAAACCTAAGTACCCCTTGCCCCTTCTTGACTGCTGTTGGGTCGGATCTTGAGACTTAAAAACTTTTCGGTTGCCCCTAAGAGTTATTCACTTTTTGCAGGGGGGTCAACAGCAACCAAGCTTTAAGTAGGTACTGGATCCCCCAGGTACCACCGGTACTGCTCACGCCGTGTCGTCCACAACAAGTCCGGCTATAACCAACCTTACTCACCACTTGGCTTTGGATCAAAACTAAACAACCAGGGACCGCAGATTTTAGTTCATAATTCCATTTCCCAGGCTTGAATTTTGGGCACCCATTTTTGACCTGCAGCCACTTACCAAGTACTTCCCAGATTACCCTATCATTTTTCGTTAAATATAGCCAACCTTACTCACCACTTCCCAAGTACCCTGCCGTTTTGAGTGGGAGGGTCTTCCAATTTACGCAGATGGCACCCCATCACCCCGCCCGAGCCGAAGCCGAAGCCGCCGACGCCGACGCCGAAACGAGCCGAGGCAATACGACGCCGCCGCGGCGCCGGAGCTCGCGGCGGCGGCCGCCGCCGGACGCGCGGAGGAGCTCACGCGGCTCCTGGAGCGCCCGGCGGATCCCAACCAAGCGGCCCCAAACGCGACGCGCTCGAAAAACGCGGAGTTGGTTTGGTTGGATCGGTTCTGTTTTTTTTTTTTTTTTTCTCGGAGGGTTGTTGCTTTGGTGCATGCTGCCATGTTTTTATTTGGTGGGGTTTTGCTGCCAGCGGTGCATGTTGCCATGTTTTTCTTTTTTGCTTTCTCCTGGGGTTTTGTTGCCAGCGGTGGGGTTGGTTGCTTTGGTGCCTGGGGTAGACTTAGGATACAAACTTTACATTTTAGTGACGCAAAGTGAAGCAAACACTAAAGTATATATTCTATGACTTGGCCTAAGTCTAATCATGGTGCATGTTGCCAGGGGATGTTAGGACTTTAAATGGCTGTTTTGCCAGCTAGAAGGGGTTTTCCGTATTAAACCACTAAAAGTTAAACTTTTAGCAGGGGAGCAGAAAGCAACGGAGGTTGGATCAGTTTGTTGCCATGATTTTTTGCGCCTGTTTGAAACGCATGCGGTTTTCTCCTGTATAGAAGAAATGTGGTTGTTTACCTTATTGCAATGATACCTGCACCTGCTACTCCAACCGCCTACAAAAAGAGGGTTCGAACAGTAACCAGGTCTCCAGAGGAGAAACCTGGCTTTCAAAAAACATGCGGAAAATACAGCTTGTGTACTGCTATGATACGGTTTTGTATGGGTTTCAGGACACAAAACCAGGTTCTTCAACCAAAAACTTGGTTTTCTACGAGCAGCAGCTGCAACGCCCTTTTTTCGCTCCCCTCCCCCACTGTTGTTGTAGGTTCTTCGAGTAGCAGGCAGCACTGTGCCTGATTACCTCCAAGTGATTCCGCGGGGGTGCGTTCCGCACTTTCATTCATTCCCTGACTGTTTTTGTAGGTTCTTCGAGCATTCACAGCCTCAACAGCTTTTGCCCCTTTTCGGGGCGAGTAAAACGAGCGAGGCGACTGCGGCGACTCCGCTGTGCGAGGCGGCACGGAATGGCCATTTGCAGGTGGGCTGCGGGCAAACTGAGAGGTAGCGAGACAGCTCACCTTGGGGTCAAGTGACGCGATGGCCATGGATTTTAAGAGGGAACGCCCTGGAAAGTGGTTGGTGGACATAACACCCCACCTGAATGATCCACCAGAGGGTTCCTAATTTAGATTCATTCCCATATCTTGGGGGGTCGCTTTTGAGGACCTATGGAGATTCCGCCGACTTCTTGCCAAAGTGCCCGAGATGGCCTCTTCGGTGTTGGTTTTGGAAAGGCAACCTTTCGGGTGCTGCTTTCAGCTTGGAAATATATGGGTTAGCGCCTTTTTGCGAGGGTGGCCTTAGGGCAACATTCTAAGAAGCCAACTACACGAAGTTGGACAGGAAACTCCTGATGCTGATGGGAATTTGGCTAGTTTCCTGTAGAATTTCCGGTAGCTGGTTTCTATGAAACATTCCCTTTGGGGCTTTCCACACTTTTCGCTCACATAGAAACAGAGACTTCGGATTCATCCGGTCCCTGGTCAGGGCTGGCCGTGAGCTTACCTTGTCATGGCAAACAAGCTCTAGGATCTTGGGGGAAGCATATTTAAGAATCTAGGGGTCGATTCCTTGTGCATTCTTTTCAACCATCGTTCTTTTCAAAAACCGGATCCGTTTCCCCTGGGTGTTTGATGGTTTCCGGAAAAGATTCGGATCCCTGGAAAAGAATGGGGAAGGTATCCCTACAATGAAGCAAAAAGGACAGCTCCCTTTTCCGGCAGGTAGCTTGGCTGGGGGGGCTGCAGGGGGGTACCTTCAATCGGGGGGAGGGGGTTGGCTAATCGTGCACTGACATTAAGTAGCTCACCTCGGGGTAAAGTGAGCTCACCCATGCAGAGCCTGTAGGGGCTCTCCTATTCCTCTTTTCTTTGGGATTTGCCACCCTTGTCTCCTTCATTTTTGGGGAACCATCCCCTTCGCATGAGCAGAGCGTTCTAAACTCCCTGCAAAATTGAACGCAGTATCCGTGGATTGAACATGTGTTTGTTAAGGGCGCGGAATGCTTCGCAGAAGGATTTCGTGATTCGCAAAAAGGTTCGCGTCAACGAATCCGCATGTTGAACAGTTATACTTCCTATTGTTTCGCTGTGTTTGCATAAGCGAAAACACGCGAAATCCAACTTCATTCCACAATCTGTGCAAGCGCTGCGTAGGCGTTTCCTATGTCGACACCACTCGCGCAAGATGCCCTGCGTAGGCCCTCACGAAAGGATTATGATTAGCGTTTTGCACCCACACAATCATTCAGAACAACCCTTACTTGCAGGGCGAATCTGGGGGGTAGTGTGCTCTTGTGTATCCTTGTAAGCCTGTGCAGGGGGAAACAAAAAGGAAAAAGAAACAAGACTCCTCCCCGAAACCGAACGACAGCAAGCGTGTGGTTCTCAAAAGAAAAAAACCGGAGGGGTTACCAAACCGCAGGTTTTGGGTAACCCATGTCCGGAGGGGTTACTAAACCGCAGGTTTTGGGTTGGTCCATGTTTCCACTTCCCGATCAGGCAACCCACTCTTGGGATTCCGGTTTTTTGAGCCACCAGCTGGAAGCCAGGTGGCTGTGGGTCAAAACCAATGCTACCATTTTGGGGTAGGCGCACCACCCATTCGTCTATTTTAGTGGGGATTGGGATGTTCACTGGGGGCTAACGGATTTGGATTTTGACCCATGGCCAGGTGGTTCAGTGCCTGCTGGACGCCAGGGCCGAGTTGGCCTCGAAGGAAAACTTGCGGCCGCTGCTCCTCGCCGCCCGCGCCGGGCACCAGGCGGGGGATTTTGCGGCTAAAATTCGAGTGCGCCCGGAAATTGCTTTCAAGACTCAGTTGCCCAAAGCCGACCTTTTGACCTTTTGGTTTCTCCTTTTTGGTCTAGTTTTACTCATGACCCCAAAAGGTCAACCTTTTATTTCTGGGTCCTTTGGGCAAGTGAGAAGAGCACGCCGCTTTTGGCGTTGGGTTGGCTAAGGGAAGCCCAAAAGAAATTGGCCATACTTAGGGACGCCCAGAAGGTCAGGAGTCCTTGCTTGCGATTCCTAGTTCGCGGCTTGCGAATGAGTCATTTGCCCACAACCCCTTGGTTTCCCTTTCAAAACAACTCAGAAGGGCCACCCCCCGAAACAAAATCGGCAGGTAGGTTCCTAAATGGAAGGCCACTCTCAAGGACAAGTGGTCTCCGCAAAAGGAAGGCTAAACTCTATGTGGTTGGATCTTTGGATTTCGACATGTTTGTTGAAACATGCGGGATTTTCCATTGGACCCACAACAAGTTAAACGCTTTTGCCCAGGGATCAACAGCAACCCACAAATGGATGTGTTTTGTTGAGCCGAAAGGGGATGAGCATGTTCCTGCCTGACCTCCATTTTGGCACCCAGAAAACGACAGACAGAGGGGACTCCGCGGGTTTCCATTTTGTTTGTGCATTTCTCGGACTTGTGTGGATTTCCCTTAATCTGGGGCGGCTCAAGCACTTGATTTCACATTCACATACATTGACCACTGACAATAGCGGGGCATTTGAAGCCACCGCCTGGGGCAAAGCGCCACTTCAGGGGGTGCTGAACTTTGAGTCGTTTGAGTGTAGTATTTGGATGCCTCTTTCAAGAGAGCCCGCATGTTGGGGTGCCTGGATTTGGAGACCAACCCATGTCACCTGACAATCTCCCCCATTTGGGTTTGCTTCAAGCTCGTTCCTAGGAGGCTAGTCAGGGGTTCAAAATGTAAAACATGGTCGGTTGGCCCACGATCAACCTTATTTCCTTTTGGGTGGTGTGATGTTTACCGGTCACATATGTACCAGAAACCCCTCCCAAGGCGGTGTGTTTCAACTCGATCGGGTGCATTCACCTCCTTGGCCTACCAGGTGTGTTTCAAAGGATTCCGCATTTGTTCCCCTTGGGTTGCAGCCTGGGCCAGTCCCGACAAACACTGTCCCAGCCCCAAAGTCTGGGAGTTGTCCAAAGCAGGTGTGTTTCAAGGGATTCCGCATTTCCCAGGAGGTTGCCCGTTGCTTGCTGGCCGCCGGGGACGACGTGAATGCGGCCGACGCCGATGGGCGGACGCCTCTCTTCGAAGCTTGTCTGGAGGGCCGGGAAGCAGTGGCGTGCTGCTTGCTACAGGCGGGTGCCGACAAGAACCAGGCGGATAGGCAGGGCCAAAAGCGCACGGTTGTTAATTTTGTTAATGTTGAAACGCATGTGGAAACATGAACTGTGTGTGGAATGCTTGACCACAATGGCATGTGCCATTTTGGCTCAAGCATTGTTCTGGGTTCCTGGAACCCAAGCTGTTTGAAAAACTTTGATCTTTGGCATTTTCGAACTTAACCCCGACCAAGCAATGGCTTCCTCGGCAACCTCGGCAACTTCCTTTGAGTTGATTGAGGACCAGACACTCACCGTGGAGGAGGTTGAAATGGCCAGCCAGGAGGCCCAGGACATTCGCACACGGGAGGCGGCAGTGGCGGCCGGCTTGGTTTTGGACGAGCCCCCCCGTCATCTTCGGCGACCGATGTGATGAAGGACCTCTCCAGTGCACTGGAGCGTCTCCGAGTGGCATTTGCCACACCGACTTCCGGCTTGGGTGCCCCTGGCCCCGCCGAGGAGGGCGACAAGGACATGGGGGATGCGGACGGCACGGAGCGGGCCACACCACCGGAGGAGGCGCAGACGCCACCCACGAAGAGACTGAAGGGCTTCGTGGCGGCTTCTCAGCAGGCTACGTCCCAGACCAACAAACCGGTCTCCTTGCTGCCGGTGGACGGCAAGCCCGGGTACTTCAAGCTGGTGGACCTCCCAGACCTGTTTCCAGTCCTTCCAGCGTCGGCGGCCACCTTGCTGAGAGACATCTCGGTGGAGGAGGCGGTCTCCCTGTTCCACAAGTTTGTCGGGAAGAATCTCACCGAGGACCTGGTGATTCGCATCCTGGAGGCGTATGTCCCGATGAAGATCCAGCTCCGCCAGGAGGAAGTCTGGGCTTCGCAGTTCCAGAGGAACAAGGCGTGGCCAGAGGCAGCCAAGCAGTGCTGGGTCTGCCGGGGAGTTCGCCCCCTTTCAGGCACCCTCGGCCACCTATGAGGCGGACGGCATCACCTACAACCTGCTTATCGTGGAGGGCAAGCCGACCTGGATCCAGCAGCGGGAATGGGGAAGCCTGGGTGCCGTTGGCCCCGGTGGTACCCGGGCACAGGCCGACCGCAACTTGGTGGACGGCACGGTCTTGGGGAGAGCCCCTCCGAAAACGGACACGGCAGATGAGATCACCATGGCAGATGCGGTCCCGCTTAACAGGCGGGTGGACATCCGGCAGGAGATCCTGTCCATGGAGGCGGACGACGAGGCGTTGAAGCCGGGAGAGCCAGGAGATGAAGGTCAAAGTGGAAGATGCTTACGTGGCCACGCATGGGACCCCGAAGCCGAGGTTGGAATTCCAAGGTAGTGATGGCTACCTCAAGAAGCAATGGCGCTTGATTGCCAAGGGCGAATTGGGCTACATCCCGGCAAAACACATCGTGAGCGCGGTTCCGGAGGAAGGGGAACGCCCTTCATCCACCCACAAGAAGATCACGGTGGACGGCTGGGACAGGGAGGATGAAGAAGAGGTGAGGAGCCACCCTACATCTCGGCGCCAGCTGGAGCGATTGCACCTAACCTTCAGGACGACGCTCCTGATGTGCACGGCAGCACTGCCGCAGTTTGGCAACCTGAGGGTCACCAAGGAGGAGTTGGATGACTGGTATGCCTGGTTCTATGGGGAGGACATAGCCGGCAGGAAACCTCCCCCGAGCGACACCACCTTGTTGTTTGCAGAGCGCAATGCATGGCGCAAGATTCACGAGATGGTGCACCAGGGCACCACTCTCTCCGAAGCCCTCAAGAACATCAGGGGCGACTTCCTCTTCTGGCAACGGGAGGTCTATGAGCACCTCAACAGGGCGCCGACGAAGGGGAAGAGCAAGAGCAAGGCACCCAAGGTGTGGCAGACTCAGTGGGAGAAGCCCAAGAAGGGGGGTAAAGGATCTTGGCCCTCGGGGCCTACCCATTCCAAGCCGAAGGGCAAGGGCGGCAAAGGAAAGTCCCCCAACACCTCCTCGACCCCATGGCCTGACCACTGGGCTTTCAAGAATCCCAAAGGGGTGGCGTACTGCAGGGATCATCACCTTCACAACAAATGCTCTGGATCATGCGGCCGATCCCACAACTGCCCGGTCAGGAAGGATGGGTGGGTGTGTGATGCCCCCCCATCGAAGCATGTGCCACAGGCATGCCCACACCTCCCCAAGTGACAGGAGGCCACTCAGGGTGCCATAGGCCCCGTGGCTGCCTGGTCTCCGAAGGGATCACAGGCCACCAGTGCGAGAGTGCACACAGCGGGGGAGAGCCAATCCTACCAGAGCCACAGCAGAGGGCAGACAGAGTTGGGGAGGCCAGGACGGCCGCAGGTGGGAGGGGATTTCTCCAGGGTGCCACCGGCCCCGGAAGCCCCTCCACCGAAGAAGAGGAGTGGACCCAGTCAGGGCACTCCAGAAGGGCGGAAGCACCCGTTTCCCCCGCACCCACCGAGGCAGTGGGATGAACCCCCAGAGAAACCCAGGGGGGAGGATCCCGGCAAGGGGCGTTCCAAGGGCGGGCAGAACCGTCAGGGCAAGCAGCAAGCCCAGGGCCAGACGACCAGAGGGTCGGACAAAGGACACACGGAAACCCCAGGAACTCCCTCATCCCACGGGCCGGGGTAACTACTTCAGTGAGCTCATCCGTAGCACATTCCTGGAGGAGGTCCACATGGGCATGGTAGATGGCCCTCTCACCAAGGTAGAGGCAGCAGCGCGCTGTGGCTGCAATATGGAGGATCTTTGCCCAGGCCCCCTAGACGAGGGGGACAAGATCCGCACCATCTACGATGGCTCGGTGGGCGGGGCCAATGACACCATCAGGAACCAGACGGTGGAAAGGACGACGGCTCCGACGGTGCTGGATGGGGTACGCTCTTCATTGGCTACATGCGGCAGCTGAGGAGGGACCTCCCTCTCAGGGTGCCCCCGGCCCCGAGAAGGAGGTCGCCAAATCTCCACCCGAGGGCTGGCTATGGCCGGAGCCGGGCACCAGGTGGGTGCTGCTCAAGGCGGACGTCACCAAGGCCCACCGGAGAGTGAAGGTCCTCAGAAAGGACTGGCGGTTCCAGGTGGCTTCACTGGGGGAAGAATGGTGGGTGAACAAGGTAGGCACATACGGCATGGCCAGTGCCCAATCCTACTGGGGACGCCTGGCAGCCCTTCTACTCAGGGTCCTCTACGCACTTTTCCCTCAAGTGGATTGGAACTTCGTCTTTGTGGATGACTTCCTGTGGCTGCTTCGCAGCGAGGGGGCAGTAAACTTGGCGGTGGCGCTGTTGGCAACACTCCTGGCCTTGGGCACCCCGCTTAGCTGGAAGAAGACACATTTGGCGGAGGTCAACACGTGGCTGGGCTTCGTGGTCCACCCGAACATCCCGCAGGTTCTCATGGCCGCCAACAAACACATCCTGGTGATGGAGGTCCTGCAGACCATGGTGGAAGGGCAGGCGATGCACTCAAAGGACATCGAGAAGGCCCTGGGCCGCATCCAATGGGCAACTGCTGCATGTCCGCTGGCGAAGTCGATGCTTCAGCCATTGTGGGCCTGGAAAATGGCCACCACCACGGTGGGGAAACCCCCCAAGGTGGTCAGGATGCTGGCGTTCATGCTGCGGTTCCTCTTCAACACGCCCTTCGTCCAGTACTCCCCTTACTTGCCGAAGTCCTCTTGGTGGGGTTGCAGCGATGCTAGCGCCTCGGACGAAGGACTGGCATTTGTGGGAGGATGGTGCTCCAACAAAATGGAGCCGGAAAAGAAGGAGGTGTACTGGTTCCACGAGCAGATCCACGTGGAGGAGTACCCTTGGGCATTCAAGAATGGGGATCCCAAGCGGAGGATTGCGGCTTTGGAAATGCTGGGCACGCTCTTCCTCTGTAACATGATCCTCACGCACCAAGGCCCTCTGTCCTCCCGGGTCCGACTCCCGGTGGGCAGTGACAATCAGGGCAACGTCATGGCGATGCTCAACCTTGGATCCAAGAAGCCCTACACCGCGGCTATCCTGATGGAGCTGGTCTTCCTGCTCCACACCCATGGCTGCTCGCTGGCGGCCAACCACGTGCCCCGGGAATTCAACCAGTGGGCCGATGAGCTGACGCACCCAGATTTCTCTGGGTTCGACCCTTTGCACAGGGTCCCTAAACAGGAACTCTGCGAGGAGTTTGTTTTTCTCCCGCGTCTCCTGAATGGAGATGCATTTGATCTCAGCGTGGGCCCACCCATGCTCCCGTGACCGGAGCCGGTGGGTGACTCACTTCCCCTGGTGGCAGACCCCCCTGGGGCCTGGGTGCCCCGGGCCCCGGCTCAGGGGCGGGCGCTATCAGTCTGCACACCCGTTCTTCAGTTTTTGAGAGTTTGTGGTGGGTGGCCCATGGGGCCCACCCAGCCGTAGACATCTGACAGGGGAAGATGAGTCCCTGGCACCAACACATTGCTTGGATAGAAGAGTTATCGCTTGCATGTGTGGTGCCGTTTGGTTAGCTTACATACACTAATAGGTGGAAGGGGTCCCTTTACATAGAGCTGTGTTGGTTTCATGTTGGTTTGCCTTGTTCTACACTATGTGACTATGTGCAATATAAACTAGTATACATACAATCAGCTCTATGGTTGTCAAGCTCCCGAGTGAAATCTCCCAGCAGGGACCTTGGACAGACCAAGGCACGAAGAAGGTGCCAAGCCGATTGATTTGTACTTCTTACTTGTCAAAAGACCCTTTCGGGTCAACCGTTAAAAATCACTGGCTTTTGGCTTCTGCTTGTGAGTGGAATCCCAAGCACGATCCCAAAAAACGGCTTTTAGATGCTTTCAGCTGATCTTGCTTGGATTTGGGCTTGTTGGACATTTCCTGGTGGTATTTGTTGAATGACGCGGTCTCGAACTGGCTTGTCATGTCAACAACCCAGCTTTACACTTTCAAAGTGTTAGTCTAGGTCCCCCAGTAGTGCCTCATTTACAATTGTTTTGCGGAGGGTTTCCCTACAAAATAGACTACAGAAAAAAAAGTCGGTACAAACTTATTCTAACCTTTCTACTGGAGGACCTAGTCCACGTTGTCTTGAGAACCACCAGGTGGGGTTGCACCCCCCTGATCGCAGCAGCGCATGGCGATCACCCTGCGGTGCTTGATGTGCTGCTTGGGGCCGGCGCTGAGACTCGCTTGCAACTCCTGTTGCTTTGCATTTTTTTCTTCGACCTGAAGAGACGTTTTGTGCTCTTTTGTCATTTCCATATTGGTCAACATTCGATCATATTTTGAGAGGAAGGCGGCATGCATGGGAAACTTCTTGTCTTATTGGCGCCTTGAGCACATGGCAACAATGCGGGTGGACCTTTTGCCCCACATGCTTGTCATTTCCACGGCATTTGGGAGTCAGGATAAAGAAGCCGCGAACCACTTGGGCCACACTCCCCTGTTCACGGCGGCGCAGCGGGGCTATGTGCGATCTGCCCAGCGCCTGTTTGATGCAAGGGCGGACCTGGACGGGGCCGAGGCGAATTTGATGGGCCAGACGCCTTTGTTTACTGCTGCCCATAGTGGCTGTGAAGAGCTTGTGCGCTGCTTGCTGGAAGCCGGCGCGGACAAGAACAAGTCGGACAACGAGGCTAAGCTATGGTGTAAGAACCTCCCTATCTTCTTTTGACTTGTCGTCATTTCTATTACAGAAGGTCTAGGGTTGGGCAAAAAAGTGTGTAAACAACCAGCCTAGAAGGGAAAGCAGAAGGCAGGTTTGTTAAAGCATGGTGGTCTAAACACGTCTTTCAACATGGGTTGAGTCAACCCAGTGCTGGTACCCTGTGTCACCTGTGTGGGGTTTTCCGTCCCTAGAGCCACCATCAAAACCCGCGTAGTAAGGGACAATCCCAACCAGAAATAGCTGCGGCTGCCTTCTTAATTCTTTACATGCTTCTGGGTAGACCATTTGAATGCCGGGCTTTTGAGTCAAGCCAGTGTTGGTACCTGTTTTTTTTCTTCCAGGCAACCCCCAAGGAAGCGCAAAGCACCCATGTTCTAGGGGTACCTTCCCCATTCTTTCCAGGGATCCTTCTTTTGAAACGGATCCTCATGGGGGCTGGGGGGGAGGGAGCCCAAATAAGCCCTTATTAAGCCCCTAATACGGCCTTATTTGGGGCTTATTGGGGCTCCCTCCCCCCCCCCCTCCCCACCAGCCCCCATGAGATCCGGTTTTGAAAAGAACGATGGTTGAAAAGAATCAACAAGGAATCAACCCCTAGGCATGTGGCCACTTCTGAGCCCCCAAGACCCCTTCAATCCCTCGACCCAGGAAGGCCGCACCCCGCTCTTCGAGGCCTGCTTAAATGGCCACGAGCAGGTGGTCAGAAGCCTTCTGCAGGCGAAGGCGGACACGGGCAAAGCGGATCTGCTGGGCCGCACGCCTTTGTCGCCCGCCTTTTGTTTTTTTGTGGCAAACCTGAGCTTCCATTTGCTTATTTGTTTTCCCCTGTTGGTTTTAAAGGGAATCTATGACTACTGGAAATATATATTTTTCGCAGGGGGCTTAAGCAAATGGAAGTGAGTGATTTGGATGACGTCTCATTCTAAACGTTTGTTGCACACCCTCTGGCAATGTGTTGCACTGGATTGTGTGTGTTCGAAGTTTTGCGTGTGACATTTGATTGTCGCGTGCCGTTCAAGTTGTTTGACAATGTTCGATTGAAAGTACAGGTCGTGTCTCCTTGGAGCTTACACTTGCCTGAACTGCCGTGAGAAAGGCAGGCTTTCGGATTGCGGATGAGTGGCACCAATCTAGTTTCTGCATTTGTCCTTTCGTTGCTGTGGGCTTGTTTCAAGCAGCTAAGAAAGGACACATGCCCTCAAGAATCGCGAGGGCTAGGTACCCCAACCAGTGGACAGCTAAGGTTCGATGCTGCTGCAGAGGGCCACTTGGAAGTGGTGACACTGCTGGTAGAGGCTGGTGCTGACATGGACAAGTGCCGCAGTTCAGTGGCAAACATTTTTCCTCCCTTTTTCCAGATAGTTGCCTAGTCTAGTTTGCATGACCAATATTTCAAGAGGCCAAAGCGCAGTGTTTTGCTGAACTGAGCAAGTGTTTGTTGTGATTTCCTCGTTTAATATCTACAGGGGGTTATTGTGTAATATATGTTGCAGCATGTTGCACGCACTCGTTTGGTTTGGTGCCTTTATGGCTGGGCCAGGTGCAACGACTTCAAGCAGAGTCCCCTGTTCGCTGCGCTGGAGAGCGGACATCACACGGTCAGTCGGTATTTGCAGCACGCTGGCGCTTGCATGGAGCAGAGCGACAGCCCCAGAAGATTGTCCCGCAGTCATCGCATGCATGCGTTTCACTGCATTGAGCGCAATGATGATTGAAATTATTTTAGGACTGAGAAGTCACGGTATTGGGCGCAATGACGTTTCAGGTTCGTTTATATAGAATTGCCGCCCTTGCTGCTGACCTCCACCGGAAGCTACTGTATTGGATGCAATGACGTTCGGACACGACCTCTACCGGAAGTCACTGTATGGGATGCAATGACGTTTGGACTGCCGCCCTGTGCCTTCGACCTCTACCGGACTGCCCACCGGAAGTGTACGTTTGGACTGCCGCCCTGTGCCGCCGACCTCTACCGGAAGTGTTTGTTGGGACTGCCGCCCTGTGCCGCCGACCTCTACCGGAAGTGTACGTTTGGACTGCCGCCCTGTGCCGCCGACCCCTACCAGAAGTGTTTGTTGGGACTGCCGCCCTGTGCCGCCGACCTCTACCGGAAGTCGCTGTAATTGGATGATATTGGATGCAAGGATCGATTGAAATTATGTACGGCTGGAAGCCATTGGTTTGACAGAATTAAATGATGGAATGAGACTGGGCGTTTGGCTGGGAGCCGAAGAGTACCGGCTGAGCATCCTGGTGACGTCGCCGTAGCAAGCCTTCTGTAGGCAGTTCCTCTTAAAGCCCGTGCTTCGCGATGATCCGAAGTCTGTACGCGAACGGTCACAGCTTCTGGTGGTCATGCATTTTTTCCGTAACTGTTGCTGACAGACTTGAACACTTTGTTGAGGAGACATCAGGGCCCCCCTACGCCAGAGAACCATTCATAGAATTCTTCCAAGACCCTCTTCGAACAAAGTTGGCCCAATGGTCAAGTGCCTCAACAACGAACACGGGCTCTGACAGGAAGACAGGCGGCAGAAACTGAGTGGGCTGGGCTTGTCGCACTCTGCAGGGAATTCGACAGACAACGTACAAATACGCATATCTAGTCACACGCAAACACAATCACACACACACAATTATATCAACTGCCTATGAAAAGAGGCATTTATGACATGTATGCACATATGTGCCATGGGCAAACCACCACCCTTTTACTTGTGGTTGGTAGGCATGGTCATGGAACCCTAGGAATGTTGGAAGGATTCCTAAGGAAACCATGGCATGGCGGTTGGGCGCTCGCTGTCCCAAGCTTCCAAGCAACAAGAGTTGGTCTTTGCAGCCGGGTTTGTCCCGCAGGGGACCAAAACGGAGAACACAACCTGAGCTTTGGTCCTTGTTGCTTGGATGTTAGGACTTTAACTTTTTGCCAACTAAGGGTTTTCCGTATTAAACCCACTTAAAAGTGAAAAGACAGCTTTTAGCAGGGGAGCAGAAAGCAACCGAGCCAAGAAGGACTTCCTGAGAGAAGACTCAAATGGCATCCATACTCTACAAGCTTCTACACGTTTGGAAGCAGGGCGGTCTTTTTTCACCCCTGAAAAGGAATCCTTTTACGAGGGGGTTGAACAATTTTCCACAAAAGGTGGCAAAAAGACCCGCCGAATGGTTTGTTTCCTCCCAGTTTTTTAGTGCCTCGCTTTGCCCTCCTTGTTTGCGGGTTTCAGTGGAAAGGAAGGTCAACTCCAAGAAGCTGGGTGAATTATAACGACCTCACACGACCTCACCCCAAATGGTGGTTTATGTGGGGAATAGCCCCCAGCCACCTTATTTCAGGTTGGTGAAATATTATAATTCACCCAGAAAAAGGGTTCATCTTGTTTCTTCTTCTCCAGGTCACACGGCAGCGGGGAATGGGTTGATTTCCTGGGCCAACCTCAAGACAAGGTTTGCTTGTGATTTCCCTTTGACAGACATGCACACACAGAGACCCAAAAAGGGTACTCTCACAAGACACACCAAAATGGAGGGCTTCCTCTTCCGGTTTGGACACAGAAGCCATAGACGGGCCAGCTGCTCGAGGGAATGTCCAGACATCCCCGGCGAAAACGCCTGAGTTGTGAGTGAGACAGCCTGACGGTTCTGGGACAGCTTGGTCGGCATCGCAATGTGAAAATGGAGTTGGATTTGGCATACATCGCATTTATCTCTGAAGGGTTGGCAAGGAAGAGGAATGTTCATTAAGTTTCCCAGCACTGGGTTTCCCGACACCGTCTTCCTCGACAGCATAGTTGCAACTCACTTCTAACTTTGCATGATTTGATCCGAGTAGTTCCGCTCAACATACGACATGTGTATGTGAATGTGCGCTGTACTATGCACAGTGAACTTGCAATGCCCGCGTTGCAAATGTATGCTTCTCGTCCAAGTTCCTGGAAGAAAAGGCCATGGCCACACAAGGGCTGACACAGCAAACCAACTTGCAGTCTGGGAGTAGACCTGCTTATGGACATCTGGAAGACGTTTGACTTTGTTGTAGTGTGCAACGCGTACCTTGTCGTTCCAAGACAGAGTCCTGCGTTAATTTGTCCGTAAGAACTCGGAGTTTTGCACTCCATGTTGAGATTGCAAGGGTCACCTTCTCGTTGCCCTTCGATGACATGCGGTGACTTTGGTGTTTGCTTGTCGGACCTCAGCCCTCTGCTTTCGACCTTGGATTAGCAGCGTTTGGCGCTGGGTCGAGGTTTCTCAACAGTTGCTTTTGGAGGCCTTCATGACTTAAGCCACACTTTTTTGGATTCCCTTGAAAGTGACAACGTTAGCAATGGCCATGACCCATGTCGGTTTCACACGCCCAGGTTCTTCGGTTCCTCATATAAAACAGTTTGTCTAAAATTGGAGACCCCCCAAAGCTGGATTTATGAGTGAGTCCCCCAAAACCCGTGCGGGGGACAAAAAAAACGGACCCGAGTCTGGGGGCCTAACCATCGGCAGGCGTGCGCGCACGAATGCTTCGACGGGCTCCGGGACGAGCGGGCCCGCTGCCCCGATGGCCAGCCTCTCCCGCCGGAGCGGTCGATGGATCGCGATCGAAGCGATCGACCGCTTGTGGAAGGGCCACCCACCCACCCAGCCAGCCAGCCAGCCAGCCAGCCAGCCAGCCAGCCAGCCAGCCAACCACCCACAAACACCCAGTCAGCCAGCCAGCCAGCCAGCCACAAAGCCAACCACCCACAAACACCCACCCACCCAGCCAGCCAGCCACAAAGCCAGTCAGCCAACCCCAAACACCCACTCACCCAGCCAGCCAGCCACACAGCCAGCCAGCCAGCCAGCCAGCCAGCCAGCCAGCCAGCCAGCCAGCCAGCCAGCCAGCCAGCCAGCCAGCCAGCCAGCCAGCCAGCCAGCCAGCCAACCACCGACAAACACCCACCCAGCCAGCCACCCACAAACACCCACCCACGCCAGCCAGCCACAAAGCCAGCCAGCCAGCCAGCCAGCCAGCCAGCCAGCCAGCCAGCCACCCATAAACACCCACCCACCCACAAACACACCCACCCACAAACACCCACAACCACCCACCCACAACCACCCACCCAGAAACACCCACCCACAAACACACCCACCCACAAACACACCCACCCACAAACACACCCACCCACAAACGCACCCACCCACCCACAAACACACCCACCCACAAACACGCCCACCCACCCACAAACACACCCACCCACCCACAAACACACCCACCCACCCACAAACACACCCACCCACCCACAAACACACCCACCCACCCACAAACACACCCACCCACCAACACACCCACCCACCCACAAACACCCCCACCCACCCCCACCCACCCACAAACACCCCCACCCACAACACACCCACCCACCCACCCACCCACCCACCCACCCACCCACCCACCCACCCACCCACCCACCCACCCACCCACCCACCCACCCACCCACCCACCCACCCACCCACCCACCCACCCACCCACCCACAAACAAACACACCCACCCACCCACAAACAAACAACCCACAAACACCCACCCACAAACACCCACCCACAAGCACCCACCCACAAACACCCACCCACAAACACCCACCCACAAACACCCACCCACAAACACCCACCCACAAACACCCACCCACAAACACCCACCCACAAACACCCACCCACAAACACCCACCCACAAACACCCACCCACCCCCAGCCACCACCCACCCAGCCACCCACCCACCCACCCACCCACCTCACCCACCCATCCACCTCACCCACCCACCTCACCCACCCACCCACCTCACCCACCCACCCACCCACCCACCCACCCACCCACTCACCCACTCACCAAGCCACCCACGCACTGCTTCCTGACCGGAGAGGACCTCTTCAACCTCACCCAGCGGGAGCTGCGCAGCTGCTCCGCCAGCCTCCACGAGCGCCTGGTGCCGGTCGCAAGCCCAGCGCACAGCAAGCAAGCACAAGCTGAGAGGGTGGCCTTGGCGAGTCAGCCACTGGTTGGTGGTGCAAAAAATGTTTGACGTTTTTTCAACCCCCACAAGCTGAACCAAGCCATCGTCGGAAGGCTTTCAGCACACAAAGGGCCATAGGTGTCCTTTTCGGTTGCTTTGGTCCTGGTGTACCTGGTGCCCATTTATTTGCCTGATAAAGGCCTATGCGAACATAGGTTATCCCTTTTAAAAGAAGGGAAAATTCCACTCCGGCATCCAACTTCATGTTGACCCCATATTTTCCATCAACCCCAGCTTCTTCATTGGGGCGTCCATTTCTTGGTGAAATGTGGTTGGAGCGGATATGAAAAGGCCCCTTGTCATGCTTCTTCAAGGAGTTATCACTGGGAAGTGCCGGGTCGGGGGAAAAAGGGTCTGTTTACCCTGAAATTTGAGATCTTTGTGCTAAACACCGCCCGTGCTTGGCACAATTCCTGCAAATGGAAGCTAACAGGTGGTGGTCAAGGTTTACGTCAATCCAGGGTTGGGTTGCAGGAAATTCTACAGGAAAACAGCTGGTTTAGTGAGTCAAGGCTTCATCGTTCAGCTCCCTTGCGAAACCCCCAGATCCGGAGTTGTCTCCCCTCATACCATAGCACCTGTGGGAAGTCACCGTTCCGTTCAAAGCCCGCGGGGGCGCGAGAAAGATCTTCACTCCCAAAGCGTTTATTCGGGTGAGACGCT